TGCGCAAAGTTGGTCCAAAGGTTTCAGGAAAATGAAAAATCATGACCATATATTTGAGGAGTTTTATTCCAGTTTAAAAATAAGGTAATCTGATCCAAAACATCTGGGTTAGGAAAATAAATGTACTTAAAACAGTCATCGGGAAACATTTCTTAATAAGTTTGTCCCTAAAAACGGTCATATTTGCCTTTAGATTACAAACATCAACTTTGTGCTTTAAATTTTGTACTCAGTGTTTATTAATTTAAGGATAATGTATAATCAACAGGTGGTTATGTGAGTTAGCATCACATCAAGGTGAGCAAACCCTGACATGAAACAGGATTTCTCTGTGAATATTCATGTTATCATTTCTGTCCTAAACAAGCCTAAAGAACAGTTGTTAATTAAGGGATAATCTATAGTGAATTGGTGATTATGCAGTTTAGAATCCCGGTATGGTGAGCAAAAGCCTAACAGTAAATGGGAGTGTTCCTGGAGTATTCCTGTAAGTACTTCTGTCCTCATTCAGCCCAAAAAATGCTTGTTATTGGAATCTAAGTAAGGGATAACATGTAACTTAAAACAACTTGGCTATATCCACTACTGCTCATGGTTTAAGTTCGGAGAGATGCTCTAACTGGCTCTGCTGCCATTACAGATTAGCAGCAGAGCCAGTTAGTTTTGGGTCCAGTAGCTGGCCAATGACTGTCAATATTTTCCACTCTCGAGACTTGCCTGAAACTAATTTTAATAATTTTACCACAGTGTCAACAAGCACAGGTGAACCATACTTGATATCGTTCTGCAGATTAAATTGAAAAGACATGAATGACCAGATTTTATGTGATACTGACTCAGTCATGGCTGGTTTAACCCTGACCTGACAGGATAATTGGACTGCGCTAGACACTGACACATTTTTGCCACGGTGGCAAAAGGGAAATGAGACTGACTGCTCGCTGCAGATTGATGTAACGTATGATCAGGTCTTCTCTAGCTTTTACAGTCAGGAATCAGTCAATGTTGTTATGAGGTTTTAACCAATCAGAATCCAGTACTGAACACCATTGAGGTAATTAAGTTATCTTAATATGCAGGTGGGCTAAAAATTGCTTCACGACACTCTTTAATTTAAAAACACTTTCCTTTTTTTTGGATGCCTGGACATAAAAACCGGAAAGTAATCCTATTTATAGTCTGAGAGTATAGTTTAGAGTAGCTCTAGGTCCAAATTAGACAGATGAAATAGACTTAAGTTGTTGCAGAAATGGGAAAAACTAATAAGTTTGAGGTTGGAGTTAAAAATTAAATTTTAAACATGAGGACTGAAAGGGAATGACAAGACTTCAACATTGAACCAAACACTGAGCACCTTAAGGGAACTTTACACAAGCCTTTGCTGACCTCTAGTGGTAATTGTAGGAAATTACAACAACATTCTCGCCCATTTTTGTGGGTCAGAACTCCATAGGATTTAAGAGTTTTAACAGGTTTATAAATGTAATAATGAGGGATAGTTTTCTTTTTTTTTTAACTGAAATAAAACTCCTCAGATCAAACAGACCAACAGCAGCGCTGGATTATTTTCTTTTCATACCATCGGCTGGGAAAAAGTGAACCCTCGTGTCCAACTTTGAGCGTCCCCTTAAAGGCAGACAGGTTAGGAGCTGCTGCCTTTTGTAAATACCAGAATCCTTCATATTTTTACACGGACAGGTCAATCAGGGCTCACACAGCGATGTCACCACAAACAGACAGAGAAAATGAAGCGGGAGGCGTTTTAACCAGAGACCCTTTAACTCATCATGGAGCTTCAGAGGAGGTCGCGGGAAGAGGACTGGCTTCAGTCTGTGGAGGTCGGAGCTTCTTGGCGGGGAATGTTCAAACCATGAGGATGTTTTTAGAAAAGACAAAAAGCACTTTCTTCACTGTTTGTTTCTCTTTCTTTATCAGCAAAATGTTTGTCCCCAGTCTGTTTTTTTAAAGGTTTTAAAAATGTCTTATTTGAGTTGACTTTAAGTCCTTCAGTTAAATAAATATTTCAACAATTTTGACAATAAAAAATAACCAGATTTGGGTGTTTTCTGTTCAACACTGTTGAAAAAATTGTTTTGGGAATATTTATTTGTCATTTAAAATCTGTTGACTCAAACTTAAAGCACGACAAATTTATTTGGCGTCACATTTCATCAACAAGATGATTCAACGTGGGAAAACCCATCATGAGCCAACAAAACCTAGAGGACAGACATACTATTTAGCATTATAATTTAACTTAGAAGATGCTACCTTTTTTATGATTTTTTCTCCTTCTGAGTTATCTTCTTGCACTCCAACCTTCTTATCAGCGCAGATATAACGCGTGATTTTTGTGTTGCTGGAGGGTGATGTAATATTAATTTTCAGACATCTCTCTTTCCACTCATTGCTGTAAAATCTTATGGGTTAATATGGATGAGGGCTGGGACAATATGCTTTTCTCCCGATTCGATTTTTCTAAGATTTTTTGGATGCCGATTCGATTTAAATTGCGATTTTATGATATTGATCTTTTGTCTGCATTTTTAACACCAGTAAAAACACCAGTTTGTCTACTGACTATTCTGAGAACCATATTTCCTCTAAAAATACACATCACATTAAGTCAGTTTTGAAGATTTATTCTTAAATTTGAAAAAGAAAAAAAAAGATTTTTGAACATAAAAAATCTATTTAAAAATTGTGAAACAAAAAATTGCGATACATCTGTGAATCGATTTTTTTCTCCCACCCCTAATGTGACTAAAGTAAATATTTGCACATGTGTACTTATAAGGGCATATAAATATATATAATCTCATTCAAGAATCCATACCCTGAAAAGAGCAAGAATAATTCTTGTATATTGTTTAGATTCTGAGCTTTGGTCAAGGGTAAGTATAGTGAGTTGTGATACATTAGGGGAAACATAGGGAGGATAATTGATATCCTCTGAGGATTATGTTATATTCTAATTTTCAGTCAGAGAGGCCAAATCTCATCACATGGTAGTCTGTGACTCAAATACCAAAAAAAATGAAGGGTCCTAATATGAAAAAGACTCAAAGCCACGAAGACAGAAATGTAAACAGCAGGAGGCGCAGTCACACATATAATTTAAAACGATAACACAAAAAATCCTGGACTTCTTTTTTTACTGTGATCCTAAATATGCGACAATAATTATTTCAAATGATGGCCAGAAAATGTGATTGAAATCTCCGTAAAAGCAAGAGTTTTCAGGATAGTAGCAATTTAACAGACATATGGCAATTGTTAGCCGTTTTTAGACAAAACTACATCCTTTCAAGTTTCCCGAAATTACAGTGAAAAAAGACAAAATGTCGGTACTTTTCTGTGTTTGTCTGAATCGAATATTTAGTTCTCCTTCACCGGATATCCGCTTGTCACGTGACTCAGCGCCACGGCCCACTGAGGGCATAAATAGCCCCCCGCTGCTAACTACGCTCAGGTGTGGGGAAGGTAACGATGCCAGAGAACAACGAGTATTTTAATCAAAATACTGAAAAATAGAATAAAGGAGAGCGATTTAAAACGAGGACAACATACCCTGAATCACAGCGCATCGTGACTCTTAAGGTGAGGAAAAGAGAAGTGAACAGAAACAAGAAGACGACGAGCGGATAATGCTAATGCTAACAGGCTAACCGCGCTCGTGTGTAAGCCTAATGCTAGTGAACAGGTGATGCTAACTGTTGTCATATTTTATCGTTTATTAAATTAAAATTATTGAAACTTTGTTGAAGTTATCAAATGTTAAAAACTGTTTACACAAATGATGATTTATTCGTTGTATTTTATAGTATAGGTGTCGCAGTTTGACCGGGAAGAGAAACATCAAACAGAACAGCAGATACTCTTAAATGTTTCTCTAGGTTGTTTTGTTATGACTGTGAAGGTACAGTATCGCTAAAGCAGCCATATTTTCGGATCTAGATGTAGATGCACCTCTCTTTTTGTAAATTCTCCATCTTACCGATTGACAAAGTCAATGTCTTTAACTCTTGTTTGTTTGTTCACAAGTTCATAGATAACAAGTAAGACCTTACTGAAACTTCCCGAAACTTTTTTACCTTTTTATCTGACCTTCATTCATACTCAACAAGACAAAATGGTCATCTTCAGTTACCTTCATGTCATCAGTCTAATATCTCTTTTAGAGGACCGAAATAATCTGGATGCATCTCTAAAATCAATATCATCCTTCAGCTCCTTTAGAATATCATTAAAATCTCATCTGATCATGTCTTAAATCATGTCTTCTTCAATAAGTGCAAACAGATCTGAAGCACAAATTCAGTAAAACCTTTCACTTACTTTGGTTTTTTAACCAACATTAAATATGTAAAAAAATAGATAAAATAAAATAAAGCCGATACTGTGTGAAAACAAAGGTACACTGAGAAGAAGTTTTTATTTACGCAGACAGTAAATCCAAGGACTCTAAACATTGGACAGACAGAGGGACAGGTTGAGTCCAATGGTTCAGTTCAGGAAAGATAGGTAATAATTGACAGATTAAAGGGATCTGTTGTACGAAAGCAGAGTGCAGTGAAATACAACTGTGATAACAAAGCATTTCTCAGAAACCTTCTGTTCTGAGAAGAGTTTTCCTACTCAGACCTGAGATGATGTCTCTTGGAATGAGACACAATCTTTATTTTAAACAAGTGTGACACACAAAAGTCACTTTGATGCCAATCCTTTTCTGAACACACCAGCTTGATAACTCCTCCCCCTACTTCCTGCCCTCAACCACAACCTTTATACTTCCTTGCTCCCTCTCCTTCACATCAACAGTTCGAGGATTAGTTTAACCAATAAGAGTAGAGATTTGCTGAACAAACACATGTTAGGCAGATTGGAGCTGAGAGGAGTTTCATTTCTACAGAAGTGAATCTCAGACAGCAGTCAAGATAAGAGGAACTTTATTTACCCCAAAAGGAAAAGTCGTGAGTTAGTTCATTTGTTTCTGAGAAATGGCACAGAAAGGAGCTCAGCTGGACCATTCGGTTATTTCTTGTTCGATCTGTCTGGATCTGCTTAAGGATCCGGTGACTATTCCCTGTGGACACAGCTTCTGTCTGATCTGTATTGAAACTTACTGGGATCAACAAGATGAGAGGAGAGTCTTCAGCTGTCCTCAGTGTAGACAGACCTTCAGACGGAGGCCTGTCCTGAAGAAAAACACCATGTTCGCAGTTTTGGTGGAGGAGCTGAAGAAGACTGGACTCCAACCTGCTCCTGCTGATCACTGCTATGCTGGACCTGAAGATGTGGCCTGTGACGTCTGTCCTGGGAGGAAACTGAGAGCCGTCAAGTCGTGTCTGCAGTGTCTGGCCTCTTACTGTGAGAACCACCTTCAGCCTCATTTTGAAGCAGCTCCATTGAAGAAGCACAAGCTGGTGGAGCCCTCCAAAAACCTCCAGGAGAACATCTGCTCTCGTCATGATGAGGTGATGAAGATGTTCTGTCGTACTGATCAGAAGTCTATCTGTTATCTCTGCTCTGTGGATGAACATAAAGGCCACGACACAGTCTCAGCTGCAGCAGAAAGAGCTGAGAAGCAGAGAGATCTGGAGGTGAGTCAAAGAAACATCCAGAAGAGAGTTCAGGACAGAGAGAAAGATGTGGAGCTTATTCAACAGAAAGTGGAGGCTATCAATCGCTCTGCTGATAAAGCAGTGGAGCAAAGTGAGAAGATTTTCACTGAGCTGATCCGTCTCATGGAGAAAAGACGATTTGATGTGGAGCAGCAGGTTAGATCCTAGCAGAAAACTGAAGTGAGTCGAATGAAAGACCTTCAGGTGCAACTGGAGCAGGAGATCACTGAGCTGAGGAGGAAAGACGCTGATCTGCAGAAGCTGTTACGCACAGACGACCACAACCAGTTTCTACAAAACTGCCCCTCACTGTCAGGACTCAGCGGATCTGTACAGTCACCCAACATCAGTACCCGCTCTCTCGGATATTTTGAGGATGTAAGAGTGGCTCTGACACAAATTAAAGAGAAACTAGAGGAAATTCTGAAAGACAAATGGACGAACATTTCACAAACATTAACTAAAGTGTATACTTTACAGCCGCAGCAAGAGCCCAAAACTAGAGCTGACTTCCTAAAATATTCATGTCCCATCACACTGGATCCAAACACGGCGCACAAAAAGCTGTTATTGTCTCATGGGAAGAGAAAAGCAACATTGTTAATAGAATCGCTGTCTCATTCCAGTCACCCAGACAGATTCACTGGATCTTGTCAAGTCCTGAGTAGGAAGAGTCTGACTGGACGCTGTTACTGGGAGGTGGAGTGGAAAGGAAGTGAAGTTTGTGTAGCAGTCGCTTACAAAAGCATCAGCAGAGCTGGAGATTCAGTTGAATGTCTGTTCGGACACAATGACAAATCTTGGACTCTATATTGTGGCAAAGACAGTTATATCTTCTGGCACAACAGGGTCATGACCCCTGTCTCAAGTCCTGAGTCCTCTAGAGTCGGAGTGTACTTGGATCACAGAGCAGGTATTCTGTCTTTTTACAGCGTCTCTGAAACCATGACTCTCCTCCACAGAGTCGAGACCACATTCACTGAGCCTCTATATGCTGGACTTAATATTGGTTACGCTGAGTCTGCAGCTGAGTTTTGTAAACTGAAATGAACTGAAGCCATTGAAGGGTGTGCTCGCACTAGACTCAGTTACCTTGAACTCTGTTGTGCTACAACTACTCCCCCAACTGGCCGTCACTGCTCTAGGCTCAAACGGACCAGGGCATGATTAGATAGATAGATAGATAGATAGATAGATAGATAGATATACTTTATTGATCCCAAACTGGAAAATTCTCTAATGATATTAATGATACTAATATTCTCTATGATTACCCAAATAATAACAGGACACTGACATGGCTTTTTAATGTCCTTGTTTTATTAGTAGTGAAATTTGTTATTTTTAATTGCACAAAAGTAGACATACAATATTTACATATTTAAAACAAAGAAGTTCAGAGAAACTGTGCAGGAGAGGAAAGAAGCCTAAAGGGCTTTTTTTTTTTTTTTGGTCTGATTCATGAGTCTTCTGAGAGAAAGGGGTAATGTCTATAATTTGTTCTCACTCTTTTGTACATGTACATGGAGACAGCGAGAATTGGTACCAGAGTTTGTCACTCTAAACAAAGCTAACTATTCTGCTCATAGTTCTGTGTCAAGGTCTTTATGAACGAACTTTAACAGTGTTTGCTCTAATTTTTTTTTTTTTTCCATGTATGTTTCCATGTATACTTGACTTTCATGAGGCCATCACCCTCATCCCCCCTGAGGTGTGTATTAATGCTTAACACTGTTTTTTTTTTTTTTTTTTTTTTTTTTTTTTTTAAGGGCGGTACTTGATCAGTTTGTTATTGTTTACCATGATCAGGACATTTTGCTGTAGTACTGCAAAGACTTTTCCTTTCCTCTAAATGGGTCCAAACATCAAAACATTACATGCATGTCTGTATTTTTACTCACAACCAGTTCTATAAGTTGATCCTGTCTGCTCTCTCTTCCCAGCATTGTCAAAGTTTGGTATCTATTTTGTTTTTTATTTCAATAAGAAGATAATGGTATGAGGAAACTAAAATTCGGTTTAAACAAATTCTAATAAAACATAAAACAACATTTTTGAAATAAATTGTATTTTTTCTTAATATGGCCAAGATGATCAGCTTTGACAGCGACCATCATTATTTTCATTGGAGACTACAAACATGACTGAAGAGGCATAACCCTCTGAAATAATATAGATGGATAAAGTTAAAACTCCTGTGGCTTTAGTGACTTATAAACCTTGAGTTTTTGGTTTGAGTCCCCCCTCCTGGGTTAGAAATAATGCCTGAACCATTTGATATTTATCAATTAAAAGTTTAATTTCTGATACCACATTTTCCACCAATATGTAATAGAACAGTAAGTTTAGGACCAAAATAGTAAAATATGCAAAGACATTTGGATGGTACACCACACCTGCATTTTACATATAAATTTTACATGAATTACAAATGATTGTGATCAGTTGACAAAGCAGAGTCGACAGTTCTGACACAAAAAGGTAACAGGGCTTGATAGACAAGGACTCACTTCTCTACAACAAACATGACCAAAAACCACGCCTCCGACTTAAACCACCCAATGTGACCCTCTGTCCATATAGGAACTCTTACTTATTTTAGTCGATAAAACTCAGCAGTGTCCCCAACAGAAAAGTAAAACCTGAGTCCAGCATGTAGAGGCTGAGTGAACGTGGTCTGGACTCTGTGGAGAAGAGTCATGGTTTCCGAGATGCTGTAGAAGGACAGGATACCTGCTCCGTGATCCAGGTAAACTCCTATTCTAGAGGCCGGAGGACCTGGGATGGGAATTTGGACATCGTTGTACATAAAATCATACCTATTGTTACGACAAAAGATGACCCAAGATTTGTTGTTGTTTCCAAATCCACATTCCTTCCACTTTCCTGATCTACTGATATCCTTGTAAGCGACTGCTACACAAACCCCTTCTCCTTTCCACTCCACCTCCCAGTAACACCGACCAGTCAGACCCTCTGTACTCAAGACCTGACAACATCCAGTGAATCTGTCAGGGTGACTAAAGTACCACTGTTTACTACTTATAACTTTTGCTTCTCTGTTTTCCTCAAACAACAGAAGGTTGTCGGATGCTGTGTTTGGATCCAGTATGATGTTACATGCATATTTTAAGAAGTCGGTTCTGGTCTGAGGTTGTGGTTGCTCCAGTAAAACGTCTACTTCTGTCACTGCCTGTGAGATGTTTGTCCACTCCTTTCTCAAAACATCTTGTAGTTTCTCTCTGGCTTTTGACACAGATGCTACCACATCCTCAAAGTACCTCAGAGGACGAGGACTGATGCTGGCTTTAGATCCACTGAGTTCTGACAGTGAGGGATAGATTTGGAGAAACTGGATGTGATCTTCTGTGTTCAACAGCTTCTGCAGACCAGTGTCTTTCCTCTTCAGCTCAGTGATCTCCTGCTCCAGTTTGTCCTGAAGCTCTTTGACTCGACTCACTTCAGTTTTCTGCTGAGATCTGACCTGCTGCTTCACATCAGAGCGTCTTTTCTCCATGAGATGGATCATTTCAGTGAACATCTTCTCACTGTCCTCCACAGCTTTATCAGCAGACCTGTTTATAGCTTTCACTTCCTGTTGAAGCAGCTTCACATCTCTCTCTCTGTCCTGGACTCTCTTCTGGATGTTTCTTTGACTCTCCTCCAGATCTTTCTCCCTCTCAGCTCTTTCTGCTGCAGCTGAGACCATGTCGTGGCCTTTGTGCTCGTCCACAGAGCAGAGATAACAGATAGACTTCTGATCAGTACGACAGAACATCTTCATCACTTCATCATGACGAGAGCAGATGTTCTCCTGGAGCTTCTTGGAGGGCTCCACCAGCTTGTGTTTTGCATAAGCAGGCAATTCAAAATGAGACTTAAGGTGTTCCTCACAGTAAGAGGCCAAACATTGCAGACAGGACTTGGCAGCTCTCAGTTTTCTCCCAGTGCAGATGTCACAGGCCACATCTTCAGGTCCAGCATAGCAGTGATCAGCAGGAGCAGCTTGGAGTCCAGTCTTCTTCAGTTCCTCTACCAAAACTGCTAAGATGGTGTTTTTCACCAGCACAGGCCTCGGTGTGGAGGTTTGTCTACACTGAGGACAGCTGTAGACTCCCTTTTCTTCCTCTTTATCCCAGTGGGTTTTAATACAGTTCACACAGTAGCTGTGTCCACAGTGAATTGTTGTGGGCTCTGTAAAGAGATCCAGACAGATCGAACAGGAGAAAGTTTCTCGGTCAAGCTGAACTCCTATCTGCTCCATTTTGTCTCTCGGTGATAATAACAGTTTAAGTTTCACTTCTGTAGAAATGAAACTAATGTGAGCTCTGATCTACAGAACATGTGCTTGTTCAGTGAGTCTCTGCTCTTGTTGGTCACACCCACCTTCAGACTGTAGATCTGAAGGGGAGGGACGATGAAACATGGACCAAGTGCAGCTGGCAAGGGAGAGAGGTTATCAAACTGTGACTCACTTTACATGTTTTGTTGGGAGGGCAGTTTCTTGTCCTGAATAACAACAGTATGTGTTCATAGTATGCTAAGTAACTCCATTAACCTGTTATTACAAAGTTACTAACAGGAACAAAGAGGAGGTGTTAGACATTTGAATTGTTAGGGGCACAGCACAAGTTCTGTATTGAGGATCATCCACTTTTTTAGTGGAACTCTGATGCCACCTTGTAGTTACTTAATTTTTGACAGTTCAACAAGCTGACACTCACGCTTTTCTTGTTAGGTTTGTATCAGTCGATAATATTTCTGAGTCTACTTTTATTTCCATTTTTAACCAGGATTGTTTTAAGGATGTGGTAAACACCTTAGTACTCTTTTGTTGCCAGTGAGCTAAGAGAGAGAAGAAAGACTTGGTATGTAACTCAAGTATTTTTCGTGCGTTTCCATGGCCATGCCCTTTGACTTTTGCAAACCAGCTGATCACCTGTTCACCTGTCAGGTCTCTTCTGGCTTTAAACCTTGTTTTCAGAGGATCATACTCTCAGGTGGTTATTATGTTTTGTACTGAATATTGGACACCAAGTGGATGGTGGGTTTGATTGAGAATTAAAAGGTATTCCTAATATTTTGTCCATTCTATTAACTAACCTGGGTGGGAGCAAAATATCAGGGACCTACTCCAGTTATAACAGTAAAATATTGAAAGACCTGGACACAAAGAAGCTTGGCAGTCGAGAAGATTACAGTTCAGCTGTTCAAGATGTAAATTAGAGACCTGACTTTAAAGTAAATGACATTGTTTTCTGAAAGCTTACGTCTCGAAACCACCTGTTTGTATATAGGTATGGAAAACAGCATGCATGTATTGATTATATTGATCCAAACCTACTGTTAATAACTTGCCGCTTCACCCTGTTTGATAACATGATCCTGATAGGTTATATGAAGTCCACACAAAGAAGTTGTAGCTAGCTAGTGGCCTTATTTTTGAGTGACACTTGCACAGCTGATCTGCTGCGCCGGCCACATTTACTGCACATTTGCCTCTTCATCTGGGGGAAGGTAGAGACACCAGCCTGCCCCCTCTGCCAGAAGAGAGGGATCCAAGAGCCCTGGGCGAGAAGCGCTACCGCTGACAACACAACCAGGTCCTGAAGGCCATAGCGGGGATCAGCCACAGCAAGAGCCTCCACCCAGCAAGGAATACCATCACCTTTGTAAGAGCTGGGGAGAAGTCCATAGTTGACTTGGGTAGGCAGTTGAAGTTCCCAGAGGCAGTTGCTAAAACAACATCAGGGCCAGACATCGTCTTCACTTCAGCAGCATCCAGGAAGGTGATTCACTTGGAGCTCACTGTGCCATGGGAGGACCGGATGGAGGAGGCCCATAAGAGGAAGAAGGATAAATTCTCTGGGCTAGTGGAGGAGTGCCGGAGCAATTGATAGCGGGCAAGATGCCAACCCATTGAGGTGGGATGCCAAGGTTTTGTGGGCCAATCCCTCTGCAGGGCCTACAAGATGCTGGGCATCACAGGAGCCAGCCAGCAGAGGGCCATTAAGCTGGCCACCGATGCAGCAGAGGTGGCATCCAGGTGGCTGTGGATCAAGAATGGCTTGTAGGGTAGAGCTGGGGCCTGATCAACCCCAGCTGGGTTTCCTTGGGAGGGGGTCTGATTGTTGAAAGACCTGAAACCCCCCATGATCTCAGGTTACATCACTGATAATGTGTCCAGGTGCACCATAGGGTGTATCTAAAAACCACTTATTGTCTCTGAGCCAAAAATGTACAGAAAACACAGAAGCAGTGGAGTCCTCACCAGGGAGTTCAAGTTTTACAGAGCTCTGTCATGCATACCATAGAGAACAACACAATGGCACAACCATAACTCAAGATTCTGAGCACAAACATTACAAACTGTAAGAAACTGAAGCGCCACAGGGAGGCGCCAAAGCTCCACTAGAATTTCACCACTCGTCACTATGATCCACATTAAGTACACTGAAACAATATTAACTTTTTTGTCCTTGTTTTTTTTATTCTGTGAGATTTACAACGTATTGACCAAAGATAATGATTGATCAAGTCTTTCAAAACCCCTCGTCGATATGAAACAGAACCTTTAAGATCTTGTGGGTTTTGACTGTGCTGTATGACTCTTGAGAGCTACCCCTTTCAAAAGTATTTGAAACTTTTTTATACCAGAGAAAGGTTGAAAAAGTTACGTCATCTTGGAATCATCTCACCACACTCAGGTATTTTTTTAAGGCGATATTGAGATCAGAGCTGCCCCATGAAAACCTCAGAGGAGTTTTTTGACAGAGCGGTGGACTCAGACAAAAAAGACGAAGACGATGGTGAAGACACAGCTGAAAACTGATAACTTCGTTTTGAACACAGTGTGGTTGTCCACTCTTGTTGTGGTCCTCCTCCTCATGCCTGACTTTGTGCCTGGGAATCAAACCCTTGTATGAATGGGGATGTGGTCTCATTGTTTTAAGCCGTGATACCCACCTGCTGTTGGTGCTTCTGTGGGCTGAAGTTTTTTTCATGTGTCTCATTATTCAAAGAGTTTCCAGAGCTGCTGGGCACTGGTCTGTTTAGTGTTTCATGTTGCCCTTCCAAAGCCATATAAGTCCATCTAAACTGTCATAACAGGAAGGTGGGACTGAAGTCAGCTGATGCTCCTGTATTCTGTCTTAAGTCAGGGTCATTATCGCCCCTCATGTTTACCCGGTACTCTACAGAAACATATTTATATTTGATCATGTTTTGGTAGTTGAACACTGCTCGGCCTTGACTATGACTATGTAAACCAGCCATTACTAAATCAGGAACGATTCTTTACAAGTAATTTCTAATAAAAGAAAATAATTTCAAGATCAATTAAAATAGCAAGAAAAGAAAACTGCATTACTAACAGTATATTGTTCCCCTAAAGAAGCCAAAACTTGTAGAGCTCCCCCTACTGATTGGCTGCAGTACATGTTACATGTTTTTATATAATTTTCTGTTGTGTTGTTAAAAGATGATCCATGATACTGATTGTTGTTCAGGCAGCAGGCTCCTCTGATCTTCTCCATCAAAATGTCACGAACGATATCAAAGCCAAGTTTGGATGTAAATGTAATAAATTTGCCTTTTGTTTTGTACATGAATAATAGAATCTAAATTTAAGAAATCATGGAGGTCAGCCTCCTTCTTCTTTGCTTTAACCCATCTTGTGGATTTACACTGACAGGCACTTATCAGCTGATCTCCACAGTTGATTTCCCCCTTATCTTTATCAAATTGATCAGATAAACCAGATTACAGGCAGATTTTTACGAGCAGATAAAACAGAGGGACACAAAGGCTCTAAGCTATCAGTTCTTTTTCTGCAGTTTTGGTTGTCATTTGTAATCTAATCAAACTGCAAAGGGCACCATGGAGGTTGGATTAAAACAGAAATATAAAAAAGAAAAAAAAAAAACAGCCTTCAGGGCGGCTTTATGGAAAATCAAAGCGGCGCCACACCCAGCAGATAAAAAGATTTAACCTTTTACAACAGCTTAAGTAGTAAGTGTTGTGAAATGTAAAAGAATTAACATGCTGTAGGAAATAATGAAATCATACTAAAACACAAATAAGACTTTTGCTTCCTGTTTCTATGATTTTTCCTTCCTAACCCCCCCCCCCCCCGCCAAGTCAAACTGCTGCCCATCCTGCGTCTGTGTCGCTTCATCTTTAGTTGTGTTTGTTTTGTTATATGCACATTGTGATGACAACATTGGGTAAGTTTATGGGATTAAAGTCATGCAACGACTGACAATTTAACAACAGCGAAATCAGAAAGTTGATCTGATATTGAGAAATGTCTTTAATCCGCCATCTGTCATACCATTGTGCAATAACCAGAGATAGCACAGTCCCTCAAATAGATCTAATGACTCAGAAAAGAAACTAAACCTGCAAAGTGGAATGGTCTCAAATATTGAGCTGGAGGTGATTTGCTTTCCTCAGCCTAAACCTCTCAGCAGGGGAATCAGCTTATTTTATTCCAATACGTTAAATCAGGTTATCATACACAGAAAAAAAGATATCATGAAAGTTAGTCCCAAAACATTGCTTTATAATACCATGTATCCCCTTCCCCAAAGGATTCTGGGATCAACTTAATCCTCTAAAGCTCTGGGCAAGCCTGAGTAAGCAGAAAAACACAGTTTAAACACAGTATTGTGGGCTTTGTCTGACGGCACTGATCTCCGCAGATTGACGATAATTAAGCGGCTTCATGGAGGCCAAGCAAACCGCGCCTGAACCCGTCTTCATGTAGACACTAGAATCGGTGTGTTGACTAAACCTGTACGCATGTAAACATGTGAAATGTCCCCGCAGTGACCTGAAAGTGTCAGGAACAGCTGCCAAAATAAAGCAGCGACCTTAACCACATGGGAGCAGATTTCCTTGCTACTGTTTCCGTTTCACTTTCTTATTAACAAATGCATTCCCCCGACTTTGAGACCAAGCCTCTCGAGACAAAGACGATTCAGTATATGGAATAAAGCTGCTTTTTTGACCCACTTCATAGCTGCTGCTACAGCTAGTAAAGGAGTTGGTACCACTTTGTGAGCCTTTTTTACTTGACTGCATTAAATAGTTGATTGTGATTGGTCAAAAGGCCTTAACAGCAAAGATTTATTTCTTGTTCGTAAAGACTAGCGAATAGCTAGCTGCACACATCAGATCAAATCATTTCAAGGCACGTCTCACCTTAGTCTTCATTTGCATTAGCAATCTAAATCTGTTCCCAACATGGAGGATAGCTGAAGAGCACAAAACCGTAAGATTTGTGGGTGTTTAAACGGTTTTCCATGGTTTTGGAGTCAGCCTCTAGTGGGCACTTAATGGAGTGCATCTTTTTAGTCCTCAGCGAACACTGTAGCTTTGACTTGAATTCTGTTTGGTTTCACATGAGTTCACGGATGTAGTTCAACAGAAGCTGAGTTAATGTGTTTGGCGATAAAGATTCGGCCAACCCCCTCTAGAGGATTCTGGTTGCCTTACAGATCAACCAGCTACGTGAAGCATGTGCTCGCCCATCGCCCGAACACTGACCCCCTTTTCCAGCCTGCCTTCTTCTTCTCAATTAGCGGGGTCTTTGCCTCAAGTCACTCTGTCAGCTCAGATCAAGACAGCTCGTCTTCTCAAAGATGACTGAGCATCCAGCTCGCCACCTTCAGGCTGAGCAACCCGAGGACTGGGACAATATGTCGAGAGGACATGAGCAAGAAGGAGACTAGGAGTGGAGGAAAAGTGAGGGAAAGGGAGAAAATCTGTTAGCGAGGATTCTGTTGGTATTTTAACTCCAGTATTAACGATGAAATTTGTTCTTTGTGCCTCTAGATAAATTCACCTCTGTGGCAGTTCTGTTCAGTCGAATTATCCTTATCATGGCGAGTTTCTGGAAGGTACATGATAATCACATTTCCCATCTTTTTAATTACTTTTAGAGGCAGAATATTACTTTGGGCTCTGTGATTCTTGTGTTGCAGTGATTAAATTACGTGATTGTTTAAGAACTGTTTGAAGGATTTGGCTGACACATTTCCAGGCAATATTTAGAGACCCAACCAAATTATCTCCGAACTTGAACGCTATCAAAAGTTGTATCAAGGAGCTACAAAATGTAAATGATTTAAATGAATGTTTTACAGAAAATCTACAACAAACCCTGGAAAGGTTAAAAGAGTAATACCGACACAGTTGAACACTTAGGAAGAACGTCTTTATCAGACATCTTGGACATGACATTCATGGCGTCTTTTTTTTTTTTTTTTTTTTGCAAAACCACTGAATCAACATTAAATACAACTAAATGAATTCAACAAATCAGCACTTAAGTGTGTTTTACGTCTCATCCATTTACAGCCACAGAGTTGTTTGATAAACGATAAAATCAGGCTTTGGGGTTGTATGACTTAGATGTTTCTAATAAGTATATAGATCAGCCTCATTGGACGCCTACAGTGGTCAGAATAAAGAAGACACATCGGAGATAAAAAGTTATCAAAGACTTTTTTTGATGTCAGTTGGTGTGGCTGCCAGGGCGCCAAACTTTGACGTCTCGCCATGAAACAGTAAGTTACTGTAACTGTACTCGACTCCGGTCACAGTACCGTCTTTGTGGTTAACACACTGATGGAGACCCACTTCAAAAGTACTGAAATATCTACCTCACCAATAACAACCCAATTTTCTAAAAAAAAATTCTCTTTTTATTTTTTTATTTTTTTTTATTTAACTGCTGATTCATCATTTGGTTAATATTGTAGTATAAAGTTTAAATATTTAGTGTGCACAACGTCACACTTTTATGTATTTTTACTCCCAACAAATAAAAGTCAGAATTTCTCGGACTTTGTCGCTAAAATGCACAAATGTAGAGTTTGGAGTCATTCGTTGAAACTATGAAACCACCATTGGAAGAGAAGTCCCTCTCTTTTTTTTAAATATATGTTGCTTATGCATTTTGTAAACAGCTAGCATAACAAGTATGAGTTCAGGTCAGTCAGACCAAACAACAAAAATGTGGCATTCTTCTTCAAAAAGTAAGACAGAGAGTCACATTGGTATTAACATAGCAGCTACAGCAATGAGTAAAAAAAAGAAGTCTTCATTCACACGTATAAATATTTAACTGATGCGAGATTATGTACAGATATGAGCATGTCAAAGAAAAAAGCTCACTAAGCAAAGATTGCCGACATAATCTGTCAGCTCACGGCATAAAAAAGAGCAAAATTGAGGTCCTTATTTTCAGCAAACACAAGAACATTTTCACAAATAGTCCTGACATGCTGGAGCTCCATTTAAGGTACGTTTGAAGGCTTGCAGAGATGTAAAGCTAAAAGCAGAATCTGTAGATCTGAACCCGGTGGTGCTTCCTCCCGGGCTTTGGACTTCCAAGGTCATCTTGAAAACGGTATCTGTGTTCAGTCTTTTTAAAGGTCCCTCTGGTCCTCACAGCACCGTGGTCTCTGACTGCAGGATGGACTGAGTTCGTGAGTTTCGGTGAAGTTGTACCATGTGCTCTGAACCGTTCCTGGCGGTGAGGGTGTTGTTGAGGGGATGCGCTCTGTTGAGATGACAGTTCAGGCAAATGCTTCGCCACTTTCTCTTCAGCTCCCCTTGTACCTGCAAAGGTAGATCCCACATATTTATGGTGTTGTGTAATTTGTGCCACAATTGATATCAACTTTCTGCTTTAAAAGAAAAGTTTAGAAATAAAATTTCATTCAAGGTCGACAACATAGAAAGCTAAAATCAGTCTAGCTTAAATATTTTCTGTAGCCACTTTCAGACACTCCTTAGATTTTCTAGAAATAACCCGGAGCTCGGACCCCCAAAACCTCAAAAATTAATCTGTTTATGATTTTTTTTTGTAACATTGTGCAAACAAATTTAAACAGAAACTGAAAAACTCTGGAGTATGTACACTAGGCCAGTGGTTGGCAGCAGGATTTGGATGGAAAGACGGAGCAGGAGATTGACCAATAGGAGCTGTCTGGGTCGGATGGCTCCCATTGGTCAATATTTTTGCAGCCCTGCTCCTGCTAAAATGAACGGAATTTTTCCATTCTTTTTTCTCTTCACTTTTTGGAGATTGCACTATAGAACCATGATCGCCATATAAACGAGGTTCATAATAATTACGAATCTCTCCCATCGTCAACCATGCCATTAAGTCCCTTAACATGACATACAGTGTCATTAGTGAACTCGTACCTCACTGTTGAGGAAACAGTACAGGATGGCCACCACCAAGCCCTGAAATAGACACCATAGTGATCAGAAATCATCAGCCGTAAATCTTAACTCTTGAGCTAAGAACTGTGAGAGACATAACCAAATATAAAAGTATTTAAATGAGGTAGAGGAACATATTCAACTGTACCTGAAAGGATCCCAGGGCCAGGTCAAAGAATATTTTATAATCCTCTGCTATAGATTCACTGAGAGAGACGAAGACCACATAGTGGATCCCAAACAGAGGGATCAGCAGGAGAGTGGATTTGGCTAACCTCCTGAGATAAAAGAAAACAAAGAAAAAGTCCAACAACTTTGAAATGAAACTGATTTTTTGTACTTTTAATAAGTTTGTCCCTCAAAAATACATCATTTATGCCATGTATATGTTTTCGGTTTTATGGTTCAGTGAATAGAGACTTACGTGCAAACTGGAGAGCAGGAGAGATCCCACATTACCTGGTGGTGCAGGTGTGTGAGCTGTGAATTCATACAAGCTCTGAAAGCTTCTACTATCGCAAGTAGGACTTGGTAACCATTTGGTAAACAAAAATTATGACATCACATTTTGGTTATTCGACCTGAGTGAGTATTTCAAGTAAATAGTCCACATGGTTGTTGGAAAAACTAACACTGTAGTTCACGTACAACTTTGATATGAGACGATGAAATCCTCCTCCCGAGCTTCGCCCCTCAGCTGTCGGCTTAGCTCAGCTCTGCACCGAAATACTCCGCACTGACACTGAATCTTCACATCCACTAACAGGAGAGTTGGCGGTGGAACAAATCAGCTTTACCCTGGCTTTTCATCACCTCCTGCCACCGAATCTTAGATCCCTGCAGCCGCAAGACACGAGAATACCTGACAACTCAGCACACCTGCGATTTCCCCCGAGGCGGTAAAACTTCCTGAAGATTAAACACGCCGTCCCTGACTGGAAAAGATTCAGACACTGAATCATGCATGTGTGCCACAGAGGTTTCATCCCCGCGCTCTGCATTTCGCAAGCTACATCATGAGAAGCTGTCTGTTCACTTTAAGTTAGCAATACTCTTATTTCTCCAGACAGCAAACACTGAAGGGATGGAAATTTGATCTATTTTATATATTTGGAGACATTTAGCTGACTCTTTTATCCACAGTAGTATCCACAAGCATTTAACTAGTGTAATATTTGCCTGATGACACACAAACGCTGCCAAATCTGTCGACTCCCATTAAAGCTGAAGCCCAAAAACAGGTCAGCTGCATATTTTCAAGCAGGCAGAGACGGAGTGAGTATCACTGTGTAGGTTATTTTTGCTGATCCAGCCTCGTGTCAGATACCTGTATTGTGATTGGTCGTTTCCGCCCACGTCAGGACATCTTAGCTTCTGGACCAAGATCCGAATGATGTTGATAAACAGGAGGAAGTTCACCTTGGAGACAGAGAAGGAATGAAAAGTGAAGAGTCAGAGGGGGGTGTTTTTTAAGCTGTGTCAGACAGTTTTCCACCTACAGGAAGCAATAAAGGGAAAGTTAAGAAACAGCAAGTGTGTCCAGACCGTGAATTTAACATTTCAGCAAAACACAACCTCTTTAAGGTCCCATACAATAAAAGCTTTGTTGTCGATTGCAAAAACAAACCAAAATTTTTAAATTCTGTTCATTTATTATTGTTATTTGCTGGCTTCTGTCAGGACTATTTTGTGTGTTTTAGTCTGCCATTTCATCTCTGATTGCTTCAACAACAAAAGCTGACCACAAAGGGAAAAGGAAGTCAGAATAACACTCAAATTTCCACATCCCAATCAGATACATGCTGTTGTAACTGCAGCTGCAACACTTGGATAGCTGACTAATGAGAGTTCTCCTGGTGGGCTCGCCAAGTTTTTTTTGTGTGTGTTCCTGTCCACATGGAAACAAATTCAGGAGTAAACACTTGCGTTTTTTGTCATATCCGTGTTTCATCAACACAGAAATGGCGTTTCGGGTGACTGCAAGCAATACTTTTTGAAAACGGGTCTCAGGGTGCGTAAATCGTGTGGATGTTTATTAGCATCTTTCTTGGAAGGGTTACATCAAACACAGCGTTACTCTTTCATGGCACCTGTGCGAGTCCAGCCAAAACAACCTCTATACGCATCCTCTGTACTCTTCTTCTGTCTTTTGGTGCATTTTTTGGGCAGTGCTTCAGCGCCACTTACTGGCTTGGCATATGCACTACATCATTTTCAGAGGTTTCTAGTTTACGCAGATAATTCCTGAAACATTTCTGTCTTTACAGAATTTTTTCTTGAAAAACGAAACAGCAATATATTATGAGGACAAGGACAAGGCCTTAGATTAAAAACAGGCATCTTATCAGCACTGCGCCTCATTATCATAAAATCAAATCAGATCACTGTATGGACATTCGGGTTAGGAACTGAGAGGCTGCAGATCCCTTTCTTTGTAAATCATACAACATGAAACACCTGCAGGTAAAAAGGAAGGAGTAGACCCCAACCTACCATAATGGAGAAACCGATTGGTCCATTGATCACCCAGTTGGGTATGGGGTTGTCGTTTCTCTCCCAGCATCTGAAGTTGAAAAAAACACAGTATGAGACACATCATGAATATTTAAAAAAACACCATCTAACAACATTTTTGGACAGTTACAAGCAGGAGTGAGGCTGCTACCCTGTTAGTCTGTTTTTCTAATTCTCAAAGTTTGGCAGTAAAATTGAGTTTTACTTTGACCCAAGTTTTAACACTCTGAGCCAAGTCTTAAAACCCTTAAGGCGAGTGTGGATTTCAGTCACAAATCCAACCCTGAAGTCTTGGACACTTATCCAGGTCTTGGCAGCATTAGCTGAAGGGTAAGTGGCTGAAACATCCGTCATTTACGCCATGGCCTCCAGCAGATTCTTGAGACTCCCAAATCATGACCAGATCTCGTGAAGTATGTAGTTCCTGTCCAGTGTTCTCCATCTGTCTCTTGAATTTTCTCCTAGTTGGACGTGCCGGGAATACTGGAAGGATTTTAAGCCATTTTAATTGGCTTCTGCTTCTGCTTTGAGGATTTTTCAGATATGCCTCCCTCATTTCGATGATCTCAAGCACCCTGCAACACTCTAATTAACCAAAGCCAATGACTGAACACCTGAGGGTTGGAGAGAAGAGAAACAGGAATACTGAGAGCAGAACCCTCGAGAGACACCTTCTGTTTCTTCTGGTGGTCCATTAGGGACATCCACACATGGATGCACCAACTGCCGGTGGATCTCACATTCATGAACAAACCTGGAGCGTAGCTTTGACAAGAGTTTCTGTTAAGATATACTTTTTTTTTTTTTTAGATATAGAAGGAAATAAGAAAATGATACTTCAAGTTTTTATTGTTTGCATCAGGCAGGGCTTTTTATCCAGCTAATTATAAATGGATGACAAGAATTGATTCTTGAATACGTCAAATTTAACCCCTGTGTCCCCTTGCGTTTTCCTGCAGTTCAACATGCCTGCAGTACTGGAAGCATCTTAACCATTGGGTTTATCCATTTTAATTGGCTTTCTTCGATACAAAAGGGCAAAGTTCTGCCTTAAGGGTCGTTCAATCGCACAAGACCCCCCATCTCTCTGAAACTAATTTTGGTCATTTACATTTGAGAGCTTGTTCTTACTTTAATTATCAGAAGTCTCTGACCATACACCTGAGGGTTGGAGAGCTGAACAACTAGTGAATGATTAATACAGCCTTCAGGTACTGCCTCCTCTTTATGATGGTCCATTGGGGTCGTCTGCATAAAGACCGATGCAGTTAGCATGTAGAATATTTAAAATCTTACATTCTAGGAGAGTTGGAGAAGAAATCGAAAAAATATGGAAAGTTGTAAGAAATTGCATGTCAAACTGGAAAGTTTGATGTTTGTTTGATGGTTCTGGCCGTTAAAGTAGTGTGTGATGCCTTTTGAAATGACTCAGTGGTCCGAATTTGAGACCTGGATTCTTCAAACTCCAAGCTTAGTGTGTACTCTCTTTGTTTTTGTTTTTCAGTCTGGAATACTGGAACCATTTCTATTATTGGAACTATCAATGTTGCAGTGGTTTGTTTTCTGTTTCAGACCCCAGCCGAGCTTCAGCCTTTCTGTGTGCAGTTTGCATGTTCTCCCGGTGTGTTCACAGGCTCTTTCTGGGTATTCCAGCTTCCTCATTAGACTTATTGGTGACCTTTAATTGCCCATAGGTTAGCCCCTGTGATGGACTGGTGATCTGTCCAGAGTGTCCAGTATAGGTCCCCAAAGCACCGTACAGGATGAGCAGTTTAGATAATGGATGATCGATGGATGCCCATCTCTTTGAGCGCGAACACTCTGCAAAGGAAACTACTTTCAGGCTCTTCTATCGGAAATATTGTTCTCACTCTTAATTAAGTGCAGCAATGGTCATACATCTGAGGGTTGGACAGAAGAATAACCAGTAAATGACGAGCACGGCTTTTAGACATACTTCATCATTATGGCCCATTGTGGACATTTGCTTCGTGATTGAGTTGCCAGCGCCCTTCTGGATATATTTAATCTACTTAAATCAATCAGTCTTTATTGATATAGCACTTTTCATACACGACCATGTAGCACAAAGTGCTTTACACAGAAAAAAAATTAAATGAAACAAAGAACACCAAAATCTACCCAAACCCAACCCAACCTCTCATTCCCACCCAACAATCTAGACTCAACAGAAACAGTATTAAAATGCATTAACTTCAAAAGGGCTTGATTTCATAGAAACAGGAATCTTTAACTTACTCACATTTTGTAGGAAATCAAATTCAAGTTTTTCTGAACAGATGGACATTTTTAAGGAAACAAACTGATACTATTGGATGGTTGAATAATAACAGGTTTCTGTCCATTCAAGTGTTTTCTGACCTTGAGACTTGAGCTGTTCAGATTTCACACTGGTCATCCTCCAGTTGGACGTGCCTTGAGTATAGTAAACACCTTTATCATTGAGCCAAGCCATTTTAATTGGCTTCTTTTGACATGAAATACAAGAACTCTAACTACTGTACACCTGAGGGTCAAAGAGCAGCACAAACGGTCAATAGAGAGCACAGCATTTATACACTGTTCCTTTGTTATAATGGTCCTTCAGGGACATTTTCAGTGTGACTGAGTCACCAGTGTCCTTGTGGATCTCACATTCGTGGGCAAAGTCAGAGTATTTTTCTTTCACTTAGTTTGTTGAGAAAAATCTGTTTTAAATCCTTGCAGAATAATGAAGGTGCTCAGAAAACTACACATCAAGTTAGAAATTTGTCATACCAAGTATCAAGTCGACAAAGTCAAACAAAATATTCAGCTTTAATGACCAGATATTTGAAGTTTCTGATCACACAAAGCCAGTCTGATGCTTTTTAATCACTGAATGGTAAAAACTTTAGACCGAGTCTTTGTTTCCATTATCACCTTTATAATTCTGAAAATGAATAACTGATCATTTCAACTCTGCGACAACTCAATGTCAAAGGCATTTTACAGCGGACATCCTTCATAAACACTTACCTACCTATAAGCCAAGCTGCCTCACCTCACATTCACAAGAGTTGTAATCTGAAAATCTTTTAAATTAACACATTATAAAAAAAAAAAAATCTGCGCCCCGCACAGTTTTTCCAACCAAAACCATTTTAGGAACCAGAGAGTGAACCTGTTAGCTTTTGCTGTGAATGCAGTTTGTTCTGAATGGGTGTGTATGTGGTTTCTGCTGCTCCTGCCACAAGCCTCTAGTGGACAGTCAAGGAACTGCAGGTTTTAGCATTTCTGTATCGGCTCCCTTTCTCAAAATAACTTGTTCGCTCTACAGAAATGTTCTTGCAGAAACAATAAGCGGCTTAATCTTCAGAGTGAATAAAACTCAACAAAGTAAATTTAATTATTACAGCTTCACTCGTGTGTTAAATCGAGTTTTATAACAGCAAAGGTGAGACGCTCTGTTGAAGTTGGATCAAATCAAATGAAGGTCAAGATGAAACCTTGTGACAAGCTTCATTTCCCACCTCAACGCAGTCTCTATTCAGTGTTTCTAATTAGACGTACAACCTTTTTAAAGACAGTCCTGCTGCTATATGAGCTGTAATAATGAGTTACAATTAGAAAAGCAGGATTAGCCTTATAATGACTTCTTAATGCAACCTCATCACAGGCTGATTTAACCAATATGAAGCCCTTTGACCTCAGAGATACTTGTCTAGTCCTCCCACAAGGTCATCTTGTAGCAGAATTTAACCTGTAAATTGTGATTTGTGGACTTTGTAGGATAATTGATGCAGTCCTTGTTGAATATCTGAAATATCTGGCATGTAGATTTTATCCTGTTATGTGGCCGATGTTTGCACTCACCCTGTGTCCTCCAGAAAAATCCTCGTCATCACCCATGCAAAGACGAACACTGTGGGGATTCCTGCAAAACACCAAGAAGAGAAAAACGGCAGCGTTTTTGTTGATTCATTAATACTACCACTGGAGCCCAGTCTGTTTAACCATGACCGTGAATTTTAGATGGTTTACACGGTTTTAAAAATAAAGGAATTAAAGTACTCGATGAAAAAACGAGCGTACCCCAGCCGATGAACATGTAGATGATGAAGTGTCTGTTCTCAGAGAAGATGACCACGAGCAGAGTGTGGAGGTACAGACCCTCCACCAGCAACCAGAAGAAGTTAGCCATGATGAAGTACTGGAAAAACACCAGGCTGGCTTTACACCCCACCTAAAACACACAATAATTAAAAATTCAACAAGGAAATAGACTTTTAGACTCAGAATCTGCCCCTGAGTTGTCCCTGTCCTCCATGAGACCATCAGATTATCATTCTCAGTATTTTCACGGGGTGAAATGTTCATCTGTTCCTCTGGGCTTGTTATTGAGTTCAGCAAAAAATTAAGCTTGAAGTTTCAACCCTCGAGTATCAAGATCAGAAGGTTTTTATTTGTCATAGCGACGCCAGTGTTGAACCTCCCGCTGCCACAACAAACGGCGTCTTCATTGGCTTGACTTTTTGACTCTTGGAGGTTTTGTGTTCATCCCAATTTAAAACCTTGTGGAGTAAACGGCTGAAGTGTTTTTCTCAACGGGGTTTTTCCTGAACAGTTTTAAGAGTTGTTGACTCAGCTGTTTGGTCGTATTTTATATCGTTTTGCCAGTTTTATTATGTTATTGTGACGTTTTTGTAAGCAGAAAAATCTGAAGTCCTGAAACATTTCATTTTCTAAACAGTCTCTCATTTTTCCTTCTGTGGCAGCTGCACCGTTCACACATGAGTGTGTCTCTCCCTCTGTCTCCCCCCGCAGGATTCGACCCGGGCCAGTGAGGACAGCGGGGTGATGACCTCACCAGAGACGGCTGGTTTGAGCAGTGTGAGGTCCGGTTGAAGAGGATGTCATCTTTCACCAACACGGCCACGGCTCTCAGGATGAAGGAGAAGAAAAGGTTGAGGTGGATGTAGTTCCTGGTGCAGTGGAGCCTCCTGTGAGTGGGATATACAGAATACCGGTTATGGATAATCAGCTTGGTGTAAATTGAGTTAATTACAATAAATTAATCAGCGAATTAGTCTCCTATCAGATCACACACATGCAGCGCTCTGCAAAGATGGTAAACTCCGCCTTCTCCTTGTGGTCTTCTCCGTCTGGTTTACCAGATCACACTGCTGTCGTCACATCATCAGCATAACGGGTTTTCAGTTTTCGGGTTGTAGCACAAGCTGTGACCTCTATGCTGTAATTCTGAGTCACTTTTGACACCTGTGGTTCCCATCATGCATCAGAGTGAATGATGGTAACCAAGGGTGTCCAGTTTTAAAGCTGTGAACATACGGTAATCCTGTTTAGACCAGACTATGAGTCTAGAGTTGGTGATAATGGTTATCCAGCCAAGTTGAAAGACAGACCCTGAAAACTTTACCTCTAATATCACTTCATGTTACACCCCCCATCTTTAAAATCCAGCAGAAATATAGACCAACCTTTTAAAGATACAAACAAGAGACCTAACAGCTGAGCTTCAACACACAACTATACTCTTATTACAATCATAATCATAATAAAAATAAATGAAGATATTATTACTCTTATTATGTTTTAACAGTTATATCTTCTAAAAAGCCTTTTACTCCACAGGGACTACAGAGTGTAAATATGGAAATATTTCCTCTCCTACCTGAACAGGCAGAGGATGGCGCTCCCTGTGGTTAAAGCGATCAGCGACAGACTGTGACCCAGAGTGTACAGCGTCTGCACGACCATGTAAAAGACCAGCTGCCCATGAAAGAGAGAAAGAGACACAGAGGCAGGATTATTGGGTTACTATCACAGTTAGATATCAGTCCCTGATACCTAACAAGCCTCCAGAATTTGGCTCACTGAAATACCCTGAAAGGGTCACTGTCCTTCTCCTGTACTCTGGCCAGCTACAGAGAGGCAGCCAAAGTTTGCGTTTACAAAACAACATTTCTATGGGTTCAATGAAGATAAATATTTGCATTTATCTAATGTTTCTCCATTTTATTTCATGGCCTGGTGGCTGCATGTGAACTTTTCCATTTGCACAACGAATGTCAAGGCCTTCCAGAAAAGCCACTTTCTCCAGCACCAAAAACCCAACAAGAAGTCTGACATTGTGATTTCCAAAACGTTGATGAATTGGCTTTATAGGGTCCATATTTGGGGTTTCATCCAATCAAATCTGAATCTAGCTATATGCATGAAGAATGAAGAAAGTGATCAAAATCTTGGCTTTTACAACAAAAATCCAAGGATATTTGAGAGAGAGAGAATGACTTTTTGCTCTTTACTTTTCAAGAGATGAGAAACTGAAGATGTCAAAGTTCTGACCTCCTCTTGTGTCTTCATCCTGAGAAAAATTGAGCAGTGAATTTTCTCCAATTGGTTTCTTTCTTGTCCTTTTCTAGTCCATCACAGCGTAAGATCGATTATCTTTTAAATTAGTTTTATGATTCTTCTGACTCTTCAACAGAGCTGTTGAAGTAATCCAGTAGCTCCTGAGGAGTCTGCGGGAAAAAATGCCCTTTTCTCAGCTGAAGGTGGAGCACCTTAATTTGACAGACATGAAGTACAGATTTTCAAGGTGTTTTGAGCAAATTATAAGAAAATGACATGTTCAGGACACTTACAGGCAAGATGAGGAAGACAAAAAAAAAAGAGGAGCTTTAAGAGGCAGAAATTGAAGGTCGAGAAGAGGCGAGCGGGAGAGCAACAGAAACTGGTGGAGAGAGAGGGGAGAGATAATTGAACAAGCACAATGGGTGATTCAGAGTTAGACCGGTCGTGACCTGAACTCAACCAAGATGGGAGCAGCCATTATCACAGTCAAGGTCAAACGAGGCAAAACATCTCCTCAACAGAAATTTCCTTTCCTCCTGCCCGCAGGAACACAACAGCGTGATGGGGAATCACAGAACATCCAAAAAGAATCAGACAAAAAGTTGGACGTCTTTCGAATCGATTAGTTATTGTTTATTTGCAACTAGCTTCAGGGGAGAGAGCAAAAGGAAAACAGAGAATTAACCTCATCTTACCACCACAGTCGTAAATTTGGTCTGTATGAAACAGCATCCGGTAATAAATGTATGTATACTTAACACTAAAGAAGGGAACAAGCGAGGTTTAGTGAGGACAGAGAGCTAACTGATCCTGATAAAATAACATTGAAGATAGGAAAACTGGAGTACAGACCTTTTTAGGTTGTCCTACCCTAACAGTGTCACAGTGTCTGACACAGGCGACTGTGACCTAAAAGCAAAAAAGTGTCTGAAAAGCTGGGCTCGGTTGCTAAATTCACTGAGCTTACACCTAGCCCCCAGCTCACAGTGCTAACCTATCTCTCAAACCAATACTGCTCCTCATTTATGACAGCTTTACCGCTCCTGTCATGCTCTTATCAACCTCTGTAGCAGCTTTGCTTTATCGCCATTATAAATAACTTCAATTTGCGCTGGTGTCGACAAAAATCCTCAATTTAGCCTTCATCTGACATGAACAATTCCACTTTGTTCTGATTGGCCAGCTCTCTGGGAGTCTGCCAAAAAAAGATTCCACTGTCATACTGATATGAACATCAATGGAGTTCCGTGGCTTTGTGACATCACAAAGTTCCGTGCTTTAAAAAAAGAGACAAACAGTTGAGTTCAGACTGAGCCCTGAATGCTGAGGGATTACTCAGACCTACACTTACCTCCTGATTCAAAACTTTGCCTACAATTAGCTATCTACCGTAAAGGTTGTAAGCCGTGTAAACCCCAATAATTATTCCACAGCTCGTTGATAAGCAGCCATTAAGGTGGGGTAGGCAGGATTCTGTTAAAGAAGCATCTTTTTTTGTTGTTTATACAGAAAAGCTTTAAGTTAATGATGACATTTGGTAATATTTCGATATCGTTGTGTTTTGTTATGTCTGTGTAGTCAACATTTAAAGTTTTTAGAGCGGCCCGCTCTTTCCGATAGTAAACAAAGCCGTTCTCCGCCTTCCCCAACCTGATTGGTTGTGAGGCAGATGCTGCTCCCATGTGTCGTTCACGAGCCCAAACAAAGTTAGCGTGCTACAATATCGGACAGTAGAAACCAACCAGAAAGTTCGGAAAATTGTCTGAATCCTCTTTTGGCCACGACTGCCAACACAAGCAATAAGTAAGAGCACAGCAGAGTCAGAGTTATTTCATGTTTAAGTGGCACTTCTCTGAGGTTTACAGCACCACCACACAGGAGAGTCAAAGACGTCTAACGTTGAGTGTACCTTGTCTTGGCTGGTGTCTGACCCACACACACTGGAGATGTTTGGAAAAACATCAGACCATCCAGATGATGAGCAGTTTCTGCTGATGTTACCTGAGAGAGACCAAGAGTGAAATGCATAATATAATTATGTGTGCGCTCATCCCTGGATCAACTTTGCTTTTAACTAATGCAAACTCAGGAACAATAAGAAGGAGGGAAAGGTTGGTCAGGATGAATGGGGAGGGCTGTTTAAAACTCAAATCCTGGATGTCAAAGCCAGATAGTAAGTCTGGGTGATTTCCTTTAAATTTGAAACTATGAATTTTTGAGGTACCTGTCTTATGCTATACCATGCCCCATTACTCAAAACACCTCTCAGCAAAGTGACAGTCAGTGCCATGGCCCACTGAGCTCCAGAGGGATTCTCGCTGGTTCTTATTCCAAAATCATCAAAGTGCACCAGAAGTTCATCTCGTTTGGAAATTCCCAGAATGCATTGTAAAAAGCATGAAGTGTCTCTGGCTCAGTGGCTGGAAGTAACGTCAGCACACTTCTGCCTCAGCACACTCTCAACAAACCGTCCTCACAGTGTCACAGCGGAGTAAACACAGCTGAAACCTTTAAAGGCTAACTGTATTTACATTTAGATGTTCCAGCTCACAAGAGGAGATAATGCTGTTGCAATCCTGCTGGGATGTGTTTCAAAATCTACATTGTCTGTGCAGCTTCATTGGTTCGTACTTTTCACTGATGAGTTTTAAACCTTTGAACCTTGAAAAACTTGGGGATTTTGTACTTGAATGTTATTTACTTTCACCCTGTGAATTAGACTTTGAGTCGTACCGACTGTTGTGTAGTTCTTGGTACAATTAGCAGCTGCAGTTAAATCATAGTGAATTTTCCCTTCAGTAAAAGAACTTTATTTCCCAGAATACTAGTTTGGCCAAATGGGCTAAGGGACCCCGCTATACAGAGTGGTTCTGTTCTGGCTCTTTGCTGCAGATCACTCTCCAATCTCTTTTCACAGTTCCCCACTCAAACTTATACCCAAATAACAACATATTCCAAAAACAAAACTTAAGTTTTAAAACTCCGCGTAGCTTGCTCTTTTTTGAGTCTGATTGTGGAAATGACCTTTAAGCATCACCACTCTGCTGCATCAACTAACCTATTTCACCATTTCTGTATGAAGAACTTGGTGGGGACTAAAAGGGATATTCCGGCATAAAATTAATTAAGGGTCAAACGCACCATAACACTGAGTTCGACGCCCCCTCGAGAGATGAATGTTGCTGACCACTTGCTTAACTTTGCCTAACTCTTTTAGCAAAGAGACTAAACACAACTCACCTACTCTCTTCCAGCAGCCGCTTGTTTGTAGCAAGACCTCAGGCCAGTCCATTATGGACTACAGCGGGGTGACGCAGCTCAAGGAAGAACATTTATGATCATTTCTTTATCATTTCCTTGAAGTAATAATCACCATATTAATCATTTTTCTCTGCAGACGCGGTAGTTCTTCTGTCTTAGCGTCTCGGTCTGAATGTATTTTCATAAAGAAATGATCATAAATGTTCTTCCTTGAGCTGCGTCACCCCGCTGCAGTCTGATGGACTGGTCAAGGTCTCGCTACAAACAAGCGGCTGCTGGAAGAGAGTAGGTGAGTTGTGTTTAGTCTCTTTGCTAAAGAAATTAGTCAAAGTTAAAAAGATGTTTGGTGTCTAGTACTACGGCTGTGACCCTATATATCCTGTTGATGAAGTTAGGTGCTGTTCTGAGCATTATTTGGGGCTATAGAGTGGCGTTTTGGTTGAGGTTTGTTTATGGCTCCTCAGACCGCTGTGTATTGCTATCGTGCTGTCGTTACTAAAGTTGGTATAACTAGAGAAGCAAGCGGTCGGCAACATTTATCTCTCAACAATGTGTTTAACTCAGTGTTACAGTGTGTTTGACCCTAACTTAATTTACGCCGGAATCCCCTTAAGGTTCTTGTTAGGATTGGCCACACTAACTAACCTACCACCCCACATTCAGTGTTTTAGCAGAGGAAATACTGCTTGGCCAAGAAAAGATAAAAATAATTAAAAAAGAGTTTGATGCAACTAAGTGATGTACAGAAGATATGATGCAAAGTATGCTTCAACAGTGGAGGTAAGTTTTCTCCAACTCTCACATGATATTGGATAAAAACCTTCAGACCTCAGGAAGCTGCTGATGGAGCATGTTCCTCTTACGTAACGAGTTTTCAGTTTTTCTGTAAAATGATGTAACTTTAGGGGCTTTAGATTTGTCCCAAATCTGTTTAGCGCTCAATGTAAATCAGAGCAGGGCTCAGAGTGGAAATCCAAACTGCCATCTGGCCACTGGCTGGAAAAAGTCTAATGGATCAGTGGGGAATTCACTGCACATATTAATATAGACGGCAATAACCAGAGGGCAGTATTTGAGGTAAAACTAGGACAAAAAGCCTCATGAGGTTAGGTTTTGTAGTGAAAGTCGAGAAGTTTTCTAAATATTTAAAGACAGGAAGTTATGGAGGAAGAACCGAAAAGAGGTCCGAAAAAATCCAGTCAAATTTGGACTCTACTTTAACGGTGCAAGCCCTTAAATTAATGAGTTATTTGATTTACTTAAACTTCCTAATTATCTCATCAATGATTGTGTTGAATAGATAACTTACCATTTCTGCCGAACACGGTCGTCAGGACTCGTGGACAGGGGATAGTGATGGTCTTGTTTATCTCAGCTCGTTCCCAGCATGCAATGTTGTCCCATTCTCCCCTGCATCCCGAAACTGTCCAGTGTAAAAAAGGCACAGATACATCCATCACAGTTTGGTAGAGCCCTGACCCTGACCTTGTGGAGGTGATACCTGTTTGCCTCTCGCTAATATTGTGAAGCCATCCCGACATCGGCCCCAAAAGGGTCTAAACAGGGGTCCTTGGCATTAAGCAGTTTAAGAACCCTGTAGTACTTCTCAGGAATGTACTCTATGAGCGCTGGCCTCTTCACAGTACTTTAAGTCTGTCCTTCGAGACTGGGAGGTGGACACCCTCTCTACTCTTTCAAACTTAACTTTTGGGTACAGCTTGAATTAGTTCTGGTTCAGGCTTAGACCATTTTTCTTTGAAATCAGTTCCTCGTCTGGGTTTTGGAGGCAGACACTCTCTCGACTTTCCAGAGTTGGCCTCAAACTTGACCTTTATTGGTCGGGTTGGCTCAGACTCAGACCAGCGCTTGGTTGCACTGGAGGACAGATTCACAGGGCTCTCCTTTTTTGTTTTTTACGTACTTTATCATTCTTGTTTTTTCTTATTCTTGGCGGCCATTGCTACAGGCTGCTGTAAGGACCTGCAGTCACGATAAAATCCTCCTTATAGCTGGAATATATTTTTTTATCAGATGTTAACCATAACTCTGATTCTTCCGATGTTTTGCGTCTTTGTGTTTTTCAATCTGTCGTGACCACCATCTAATGCCGTTGAGCTGAAATGGCTTTTGTTCTGCAGGCATGACACAGACTTACTATTGAAAAGCATTATTCTGAAATCCCCTGTGAGTGCAACAATAAAAGAGTAGAAACGAGTCCCTGAATCGGGTCCTGTAAATAATAATTTCATGACTATTTCACAGCCGGGAGAATGGATTTAACTGACATATGCGGAGGATTTAGACGCTATCAGGAAGATTTAATGAATACAAAACTCCCACCCACCCTCCAGAAACAAAACACTCACGATCTGCCTCCTGAAATAACTCTGCCAGCTCTCAGCATGAATCTTAATGGGAGCAAAAGTGCTGATGGCAAACTGAGCAGTCAACAAGGCTTTTGAGCGATGGATGAACAGAGACAGTGTGTTTGGTAAAATGTAGCAGCCATCTCAACATCCCCGAGAAAGAGACACAAACAGCCAGCGAGGCATCAGAGCGTGAAAAGAAAGACAAACTCAGAAAAGGAAACCTGGTATCTCTTTTTTGATCTATTTCGAAACAGGCGTTGATTTATTTTCCATTTCCATGTGACGGTTTGGAAGAGGAGAGAAAGGAGAAGCTGGGAGTGAAGACAAAGAACTGAGACAGATGTGAAAGAGAGTGACATACAGAAACCCCGAGGAGAAGGACAGTGGATGTCTTTGGGGGAAAAGTGTCTCTAATGCAGATCTGGACTCAGCGGCGCATAAAGAAGAGTCCATCAACCTGCTGAGTGAGCCGTCCTCTCTCTGTGGGCTTTCAAAGAAACACTGGTAAACATATCGGACTGCAACAACCCACAAATACACCGCACACAACATATAGAGGGAAATCCTCTTTGTCCGGTTGATGCTCTTTTATTTTTAATTCACTTTAAAAGTGACGGCTCTCTTTTCATAGCTGCCCTACTTTCATTCAAACCGAGTACCGCCGTTGTCCATTCATGATCTCCGACTGCAGACCTTATCGCTTTGACAGGGATGGGAATTGAAAAGATTTCGCGATATCAAATCTTTTATCATTCCCTGTTGATTCTGTCAGGAAAAGTAGGGCGACTTTGGTTTTCTACATGAACAACCTTATTACTGTCAAAGGGAAGGGGAGCAGACGCAGGTTTGATTCATGTTACACCCAAAACAGACCAAGGGGCAGTTGAGGGACATAATCTAACCTTTGCGCCCTGAGTCTCAATTAGCATCCTGATTAAGAAACAAAAAGCAGTGACATGCTCTGATTTACTACGAATGTAAAAACCATGCATGTTAGATAGGGCCCCCAAACTACAACGTCAGGTCCCAACCCTTTGTATGACCAGCATCCAACCAAGAGTAACCCTCCTGACTTCTTCTAGAGCTCAACCCTTTCACTTTGGTAACCCGGTTGTTTTTGGACTCTTGAATCCATCTCAAAGGAACAGGAAACTATCCTTGTTTTCAGTCTAGTCTTGGACAGTTTGTTGCTGGATTTGTGACACACTGATCTAAACGTTAACTGCCTTGTTTAGAAAATGTAACAAACCAGAACCGCAGTTGTCGGCCAAAAGCATGAGAGCCTCTGTCTTCACCAAACAGATGAATCAACTCTGAAAGAAAAGTGCTTTTCCCAGCAGATTTTTCCCCGCGGACGATTTGAGCCGTGTTATTATTTTGCTCTACTTCGTGTCATTGAGCTTTAATTAACACAGCAGGGGGGCTCGGCGTCCAGCGCTCACGTCGCTGCAGAGCAAAGTCAGCCTCGTTAACACTGCAGGAACACCGCCGCTTGCGACACAACAGAGCTTTTAGGCTTCACCGTCGCGTCCGTCGCAGACAAAAAAGAGCTGAAGGTTTAATTTGTTTGCCGTGCACATTCAACCTCACAGAAGACCACCAACTGTGAGTTAAGAGCGGAGGGCCGGGGTATTTACATGAATAATGCCTGTTTAGTTCAGAGGTGGATACCTTGATTAAACGTTGAGGGAAAGTTCGCCTCCATATCCATATTTCAGACTCAGAATAATTGGCTCATATGTGAAGAAAGACCAAGCTGGTCTTGTTAAGAAAAAAGATGAGGCGGCTCGGTGTCTGGGTAATTTATAAAAAGTGGGTTAAACCAGAAACGAGCCTTTTCTTCTTTTAAGCTGCAGCAGCACAAAAGTTTCATTCAAATCAAACTTCTATCATCAGCTTATGTTTTTCTCCACTTAGAAGTAAACACATTTTTCCATCCAGATTATCTGTTTTTTACTTATTTTTTATTTTACCCAGGTTTTTGAGTGAATAAATCTGTACATATCATTCTGAATCTGATATTGTAACACGTCAGCTGCTATCGTAAAATATCACATCATATTTGGCACCATATCTGGTGTAGTTTTAAACCTGGTATTGTATACCAGGTTAAGTAGCGCGCTGGTATTGCTTCGTATGTCTTGTATTGTATCAGGGTTCTGGTTTTGTAAAATATCGTACCTGATATCACACTCAATACGACGTCGTACCTGGTATCACTTCGTATATTACCTGGTATTGTATCATACCACACTTGTTTCTACCTGGTATCATATCTTGTCCCTTATTGTATCGGCATTGTGTAATATTGAAACTGTACTCTCACCTTGTGTTGTATCATAACATATCTTATTGGACCTCGTCTCATAGCTGCTCTCGTATTGTATCATTTACTCAATCTTGTATTGCGTTTGTTTTTCTATCCCAGATCTTCCCTGTGACTCAAACCTAGTTCGGATACTGAAAGTAAACAAACCCATTAGCTTGTTTCTGATGTTAAAACTTTTCTTTAAGGTTTCGGAAATCGATACGACTTTGTAAACAACAAAGATTAAAATTTAGGACCAAAATATTCAGAGTATCCACGACGAGAGCACTGTCAGATACTGGAAATACTTAAAGCTTCTGTGAGGATGTTTTTGTTTGCGTCAACTTTGGCGCCCCCTGTGGACAGAGCATTCTTTGCTTATTCTACGATTTACATATCCCAGTAATTTCTAAGGACAAAAATCCCATCCTACTTACTTTTCACGGTAAAATGCACAATTTTCTTTAAAAATGTAGTGTAAAAAATGTCTTATTAGCTTTTGTTTTTCAGGAAAAGGCAATAATATGAATTTCATCCATTTTATTTCCATGTAAAGCTTCTAACAGGAGCTTTAATCATCACATTCAAAAAGCAGTGTTTGATTTTCTAAGTTAAAAATATCAAGTTTCCTTTTAAATTGCTAAAACTATTTGTTCTTCTCTTTTAGACTCAATATTCAGGAGTTTAATTTCATACGAGTTTACCCTACAGCAGATTTTTGACCAACAAATAATCAAGAAGAGTCCAGACATGAGTCTCCACGCTGTACCGTCCCCACGCTGACCAGCAGATTAGAGGTATTTGTGTAAGTTTAATTTTAGTTTTATCTATATTTGGTCAGGCGGAGGAATAATCTCATATTTCAACATGAGATATAATCTGATTAGTCAACTCCAGAGGTCAGATCAGGTGAGTCTCATACCCAGATTTAGTTTGAAAACATCCCCCAGCTGGAGGACTCAGGTTTTTGGACCTTGCGTGTATTTATTCAATAAAGAAGAAGATCTGACCTGGAATCTGCCGGGTTTTCATTTTCTGCTGGACAGAATTCAGACTGGAGGATTAAAGTGAGATGTAAAGGCCGCTCACGTCCTCGCATGGCTGAGGTATGAATATATGCCCCCTCTACATGTGTGAACCTCATGCATATATTCATGTTAAAATCAGCTTCAGATGCAGACTCTGTTTGTCCTTCCTGTTTCAGGGATTTAGATACAGTTCAACTCAACAAAGCGTCACTCACTCTTTTACCTGCTGACAGAAGTTTATTTTCTAACGCACTTAAATGAAAGTCTGACCTTTTTCGCTCCCAGCGGCCTCCTCTTCCTCTTTCAGCTTCCTCAGACACTCAGCCTGGTCTTTCTCCACTTCTAACATAAAGTTACAGTTTGGATGTCGTCCATCCACCTGCAGAGGAAAAATCACTTAACTGATTATATAATGTAGTATCAAATAACATGTCATATTATGTTTTATCATGTCATCTCATCCTGTTGTATCGTATCATATCATAGACTAGAACATCTTCATTGTCATTGTACGTGTTCAGCAGGATTGAATGTCATTAATCAGTATAAATATGGTAGTGTTGCATCATGTTATCATGTATCATATAATTTATCATACTGTATGATATTATGATATCATATCATGTTCTAGGGTAACATTTTAAGTCATGCTGTGTTAGATAGTGTCATATCATGCTAGCACCATGTCTAATCATGTTTGTAGTGTTGTATCTTGTTGTATCAGGTAATTTTGTGTCCATGTCATGTAGCTCTCTGTTATTTAAATGTATTGTGTCCTTTTGTTTAGATAATGTCATGTTTATTTTGTTATGTCCTAATGTATCCTGTCATGACACCTTATATCATATTTTATATATATCATTGTTTCTTTTCTAATCATTTATCATATATCTCGTATCATGTCATATCTCATACTATATAATATGAGATATGAGATGAGATTATATGAGATGATATAGGATATGAGATATGATATGATATTCTGATCCTCTTGTTTCCTGTCCAATCATTTATCATATATCATAGATCATATTGTATCTTATATGAGATATGATATGATATGAGGTTTGATATGAGATATGATATGATATTCTGATCCTCTTGTTTCCTGTCTAATCATTTATCATATATCATAGATCATATTGTATCTTATATGAGATATGATATGATATGAGGTTTGATATGAGATATGATATGATATTCTGATCCTCTTGTTTCCTGTCCAATCATTTATCATATTATATATGATATGATGTGAGATATAAGATTTGATATGAGATATGGAATGATATGAGATATAATATGATATGATATATGATATGAAATGATGTTCTGCTCTCCTTGTTTCCTGTCTAATCATTTATCATATATCATAGATCATATTATATCTTATATGAGATATGATATGATATGAGGTTTGATATGAGATATGAAATGATGAGATATAATATATAATATATGATATGATATTCCGCTCCCTTGTTTCCTGTCCAATCATTTATCATATTATATATGGTATTTTATGATATGAGATATAATCTATGATATGATATAAGATTTGATATGAGATATAAGGTATAATATATGATATGATATGATGTTCTGCTCTCCTTGTTTCCTGTCTAATCATTTATCATATATCTTATATGTGATATGATATGAGATATGATATAAAATATGAGATATGATATGAGATATGATATAAAATATGAGATATGATATGATACATGACATGATATAATATTCTGCTCCCCTTGTTTCCTGTCTAATAATTGTTGTTTTCTGTCAAAACAAACTCTGTTGTTAAAGTCTGGCACTCACAGAAAATGTTGAGAGACTGACTTTGAGATTTTTAACACTTGGGGTCTTGCAGAGTCCCTGTTTGCAGGATTAAACAAGTACACACACAGCTGCTGTTGTTTGTATGCCGGATGATACAATCTGGCGTTATTCAGATCATCAAAACAGCCTGCAAAATTAAAATGAGCCCAAATCAAAAGTATCTCTTTCCTTCAGAAATACTCTTCATTTCAATCATTTTGAACTTCAGAAAAGAACAAACACTCGCGTTAGTTTCTGCGGCCCCTAATTTTTGTCTGAACCTCTCTTAAAAGTAGCTCATGACGGGAAGTATTTCAGCCAGACACACAGGCGGAAAGTCACGGTTATGATTACCAGATAAATACACAGTCAAGATAAGCTGCTTATACCAACTGCCTCTGCTCTCTGTGTGTATTTGTGTGTGTTTGCAATCAGCTGAGGCAAGTGACCTAATGTTCTGTGAGCCATACGAATCCTGCAGAGGAAACACTGAGACCCTGCCAAACAATAAAACAGCACCCACATCCTAACGTCAGTGTCTGCTTGTTTTTTTCCCAAGAGTTTTCTTAGTTTTGGGTAAATTTAAGCAGCAGCTGTGCTGTTCGGCCTACATGCTGTGGTGTATTTAGCGTGGGTAAGGGTGGAAAAATAAGCCTGTGATCAGATTTTTACACTAATAAAGACGCGGTCGGATTACGTCACCGCTACATGAGGGATATTCTGATGTCACTGGCACAGAGACCTGAAACAACATGCAAACTAAAACGTTTCAATTTCCGCCAACAGGATTAAAGTCTGAATGATATGATTCACTGTAACTGTAAATTTACAGTAATTTACTACAAAAAAGGTGTTCCACAGGGCTTAATACTGGGTCCCAGCTTGTTTCGTTATTACTAATATTCTAATCCTATCCATTATTTTACTCTAACCAGCTGTGTTAAACACTTTTTTGGTCATACTGCCGTAACAACAGCTTTTATTCTTTCAAGAAAAAAAAACGTGTCCAGGGACAACTTGATCTCATGTACGGAAAGACATCAAGTTTTGCTGAGGCAAAAAAATAAAAAAGGCGAGCACCTAACCCAAAACAAGTCAAAGATTAAGTAAAACCTGACCACCATGACATGCCAATTAGGACGACTAAAGAGCTGAAATTTCAGTCAAGATTCCGCTATTGGTACACTGGCCCCGTCTTAGCCTCGATGATGGAAGGATGAGGAGGAGAGTTTGCATTAAAGTCTGGTGACACAGAGGACCATGAATCAGATTTGAGCCTGCAGCATCACATGACCCATAACTGCAGAGCAAATCTTAAACGCTGAATCTGTCGGCTGTCGTGTTTGACCTCCAACGAGTCCCAGTCATGTCTCAGAGCTCTGGGTGACGATTTCAGTAAGAGATTCAGTCCTTTGCTTTTCTTTTCTGTTGGATTTAAACTGTTTTATTATCCAGATGTTACAAAAATTTAACTCCTTGTGCTGAAATCTGCTGTGTTAGTTTAATAACAAACTGCCATCAATGGAAAAGCGTTTCGAACAATAGCAGTTTTTAATTTTAAAAGTATCGATACTGACATGCCGTATCCGGATACGATATGAATTTGCCATGGTATCGATACTACGGTGTGTGTGCCTGCAGCGCCTGCCGGACACACTCTGCAAGTAGCGCAGCCGACCCGGCAAACGGCGTCAGGCAGTCGGGAGAGCCCTGACGGATTTCGGCAGGTTAGCAAAGCTCCCGTTCATACTCGACCTTACTGTTCTAAACTGATAAAGTGATGTTAGTCTAGTCGGTGGCCGGCATTAATTCCCGATAGCTGCAGTTAGCTTTATGCTCAGTGAATGCTGTTTGTGTTGTTACTAGCCATTAGTTGCGGGCCCTTGGCTAGCAGCCTTTAGCTCGCTAACAGTGACTCAAATGTGTTTGCTTGCCTTTAAGGTGCACACTGAAGCAGAGAGAAGTTGACCTGCAACTAAACCAAAGAAACCACAGCCTACTCTTCCAGTGCTTTTTGAAAAACAGAGAAAGTATGACCCAAAGTCTCCTGAAGCTGTCAAAATAAACCGAGCTGTAGCAGAGTATATGTGAGTACCAACTACCCATTTACATTCTGTTTTTCATGTTAATAAAAATATTTTTTATGCCTTTTAAAGTATTTGTCACTTTTTATTCCGGTGGTATCGAAAATGGTATGTTTGGAGTATTTTCCTGGGTATCGGTATTGAGTGTGAAGTTTTAGTATCGTGACAACCCTACTATGAACTGGCTAATTGGTCTGGTATCGTTCCAACAACCCTGTTCAGGCCTAGCAGTGTTAAAAAAATGTGAAGAAGCCATTGGTCCACCATCTTTGTTTTTGTACACACCCTGACCCTGGTGACCCTGACTGCTGCGTCATACCTCACAGAGTAAACTGTATTGGAATGATGAGATGTTGGAGTATCAGAATCAAATAAACGGCTTTGTAGAGGATTTACTTGTATGACAAAGAGATAAAGCTTTAACATGCCTTTGACAGAGGAAATGAATCATGGAGCTCTGGATCTGAGCCTCAATAGAGCGCAATGCCTCCAGTGCCAAATGGTATCAAACAACATCAAACAGGAAACCGTGTTCCTATAACAGACCCCAAAGCAGAGACTTCATATAAAAGAGTGTACAGGGTCTTTATCAGAGCCGGTAAAGCCTGACAGCAGACAGAGCTTGTAGGGAACATCAGATTACACTGATAATAGAAAAACATGGTGTCCTGGTTTCTTTTATCACAGTAATCACTCTGCAGGGGAGACCAAGGAGCTCCACGTCTTCCATATTCTGCTTCTTTTATGATGCGCTCGGTTAATCTGCTATCTCTGAATTTATCTGAGTGATTTAGAGCGGGTCTGTGTGAGGTTCAGTGCCTTGCTCCAGGGCGCTCTGCAGGGAAGGAGCAGGAAAAGGTGGACAATCTGTCTGTTTGTTACTTCAGCTGGTTCGAACAGGTCGCAGAAAACAGTAAAGATTATAAGCAGATCGATCCTATATTTCCAAAAAAAGACAGTTCAGCCATAGTCAGTGTCAGAAATTTAGAGCACAACAACTTCATCAGACGAATCCACCAAAACTAAACAGATTACCCCAACAACAACAGAGCTGTTGATATTTTTACAATCCCATTATTTTGGTCGTGTTGTGTGCTGGCTGTGTATAATGGAGGGCAAGCGTTTCATCCCTCATCGTGTTAATGTGCATGCTCTCGGCACAAAAGCTACTAAATCACAGCGCTATGCTTAATCACGGTGGGTTACGCCTGGCTGCTTTCAGTGGCCTAAATACTGACTCACAAACACATTTAAAGATGAAGAAGTTTTCTCCTTATCGTAGAACAAGAGACAGTCTCAGTGAGATTATAACAAGTGGTATCGGCGCCATCAAGAACTCGGAGATACTTTTATTCCAACTACTGCGAAGACCTGAATATGAGACAACTATTCAACTTTAATCTCTTCAGTCTTAAAAAAGTCCGTAGCTCTGAGTTGAATAGGACAAATTCGTTCAAAACAGCTCTATCTTTCATATTTCTATACTGAGGGCCGACCTTCTGTTTAGTCTGTTTTAAGTTGTCTTTGCCTCTAACAGAACCTTAACAGGTGAGCTGATCGGATAAGTTTCTGACACATTAAATCAAAGACGTCAGCTTCCATCTAGCGTAGTCTGCTAACAAAAAATTAACACGATTTCACAAAAATTTATGCTTAAAAAAAAGGTTTTCTTGGTTCGCCGTAGCTTTGATTTTCAACATTGATCAACTTTTGACTCTTAAAGGGATATTCCGGCGTGAAATTAATTTGGGGTCAAACACACCGTAACACCGAGTTAGACACCCCCTCAAGAGATAAATGTTGCCGACCGCTTATACCAACTATACTGCCGAGTTATACCAACTACAGCGGGGTGACGCAGCTCAAGGAAGAACATTTAGTTCTTCTGCCTTAGCGTCTCGGTCTGATTGTATTCCCATGAAGAAATGATCATAAATGTTCTTCCTTGAGCTGCGTCACCCCGCTGTAGTCCGTAATTAACTGGCCTGAGGTCTCCGTACAAACAAGTGGCTGCTGGAAGAGAGTAGGTGAGTTGTGTTTAGTCTCTTTGCTAAAGAAATGAGTCAAAGTTAAAAAGATGTTTGGTGGCTAGTACTATGTCTGTGACCCTATATGTCCTGTTGATGAAGTTAGGTGCTGTTCTGAGCATTATTTGTGGTTATAGAGTGGAGCTTTGGTTGAGGTTTGTTTACGGTACGGTTAATTTTACGTCGGAATATCCCTTTAACACCTGAAAAGCACAAAAGAATAATTGAAAATCTCCTCCGTCCTTCTGTCTTTAACAAATGTGTCTTTACTCTCGAGTCTTAGTTGTCAGCTACCATTTGTTGAGCCAGATCATATCAACCAAAATCTAATTGGACAACTTCCAGTCAGAGCGCTGGCAGTGTCAAAGCTTTCACCATGAGTCCTCCTCTGTTTGCTCATCTCCAGTAACTGAGTTTCACTATGAGGCCTGCTGTGCTTTGATTTAGATCTGACCGCTTTGCAGCTCATATTCAGACAGACCGACTTATTGAGACTCTGTGGGCAGAGGTCTGTCTGCACCTGAGCCCCTGCTGTCCTCTACTGAACCCAGGCTGCAGAAATATATGCACAGACAGAGACCGTACATGTGTGGAAATTATACAACACAAATGATTGGCTTACAGACAATAACAAAGATGGCAGCCTTCTGTTAGCATAATTATGTAAGGACAGAAACCACTAAAATAACACACAAATCATCAAATACGCTGATTGTCTCTAGAGGTATTAGCATTAATTTCAATCTGTTTTATAACCAGCTAAAATTTCCTCTCAGTAGCTTTAAAAAGTGATTTTAGACACCTATCTAATGCACTAAAAAGTTTATTTAATAGATTTATCTTTGTGTAATTTAAAATACAATTATGGTGGGGCCGGTGCATCTCTCTGACTTATTACACTCAAAACAACATGCTCAAATTGGCTGAGGTGTCATTGTGAATATCTGCTCTTTTTGGCTCCAGTGACAGTAAAAATTATTATTTTTTAATATAACTAAATTAGGCAATAATTAACTGGTGATTATAATGCCTTGCAGTGATAAAAATTGACCATCACAATGCCTGAAAACCAAATCTGACTTATTAGTTCTCTCATTTCGCCAAATAATTGATCCTGTTTATTTAGAAATGAAAATATAAGTGATAAAAAAAACCAAAAAATTAATATTTCAATAAAAAAACAAATTTGGGACATTGTTGGGACACAGCTAACTTTGAGGAAACAGAGCAATTTTTTATGGTGTTTATGAAGTTATTGATCCCACTACAGGTTAAGCGTATTAAATATCAGAAAATTTAAAAGATAAATTGAATACCACCTTCTTTAGGCTTTGGGTGACGCCCATAAAATCATGTTTTTCTTTTCTGTTGAGGCAGGTCTTTAAGGCAGATGATCATTCTTATTGTTACATGCAGAAACAAGTTAAAATGATAAATTATTACAGCTTTAACGCAACTATCCGGGTATTGCAGCCTGAAGATAAATTGATAAAGAGGTGAGTCGTACGGAGAGCAAGCAGGCGGAAAGAAAATGTCAGAAAATGTTGAATAAACTTCTTAAATTACCCTCTGTGTCACAGCAAGACACTTTACACTTTCCATCCCCCATTTATGACAAGGTCAGGTAGATCAAAATCTTATATAATAATAAATATTTAGTAAGAATATTCATAAAAAAGCTCACAAAAGAACCCATCGAGACCATATCCCCTTTAATTGTAATAATCATTGTTTCGATATGATTATCGATATCGAAGGTGTAACCGTTTACATCAATTAAAAGCCGTTTCAGGATACATGCAGGAAAAAGCTCCTTAAGTTTGATTTCTCGTGTCTTTGTCAATGTATATTATTTGATCAAAATCGGACTTACCGTGAGTGGACAGGTGGAGAAACACAGCGTGACCAAGAGCAAACTTTTCATCTTCATTCACTCTTCTTAGAGAGGAAAAAGAGGAAAGAGTCCGGACTCTATTTAAAATCCACTTTAGACTTTTTCATCCCGTGATCAGGACATAAATATTTTTTCAATTCTATAAAGTTAAAAAAGAAAAAAAGGGATTTCAAAAGAGAGATACAGCCACAGAGGCTGATGTGTTCTGGACCCACGCTGGTCACTAACATAGAGATGAGTGTGGAGAGACATCAGTCCCCCGCAGCTGTCTACAACCGTCAAGTTTAACGAGATGTTAACGTAACTTCCGGTACAGATTTTCAAAATTAAACTTAATAATTAACCGATCATTATTCCACTTCCGTTCAGGGTTGGGTCATAAACTAAGCTTATTTGATTAAAATACTTTGCTCAGAACAGAAAGAAAAAATAAAATAAATAAAGAGTGCAGAATCAGACAAGTAAATTATAAAGAAATAAAGTAAGAAAAGTAAATAAATTTAAAAAAAAGAAAAAGGCAGCAACAATAATATCAATGAACTCTATCCATAAGCTATATATGTGAACATATCCATATACATGCATACATACAAATGTGTACCTACTAAATTACAAATAGTCATTGGTCCCTCTTAAAGAAATTCTTTGTTAAAGGAATTGTTAAGATAAAATGTGAACGATGTCGATAGATTGAACCATTTAGAACCGGTTCTCAACAGAACCAGTTCTGGATTCTCATCCCTAGCTGTACTTCTGTAGAGCCCATCGGACAGACTATCAGCAGCTCGTCCACAGTTGTGTTAGTTTCACATCTTACAGAATGACATACTTTGTATAGTGTAAGTTGTCTCTCTCAAGGCAGAAGCAGAGCAGAAATACACATCCTCTCCATTATAAATGCACACACTCTCAGATGTGTACATACTTTCAGTCTTGTACAGTAAACTCAGGGAGGCAGAGCGAGGATGAAGTGGCACATATTTACACAAAGCCAGGGAGCGTCAGTCTCTCCGCTGTGAACTAAAGTGTCAACACTACATTTCAACATGCAGACACTCAACTTATAGCAGCCACTCTCAGTTCAGTCGGTCTCAAGTGCTTTACAGTTTGTGTATGGAACTGAATGAAAACAGTGTGATGGTGTGAGTGTACAGCTCATCCTGAGCCATGTGAGGGAGGGAAATCTCATACAGTCCTTTCTTCCTCGTTTCAATAATTCAGTATTTTTGTCCCCCTGTATTTTTCAAGAGCCCTTAATAGAAATCATACAATCATATATTGTACCTGAGATATTTGCCTAATTATCTTAAAAAAATGTAGGGTAGTCAATTTGTCTAGACAACACAAATTTGGTCGGTGTCAACAATAATAAGGTAAGTCAGGCCTGTTTATGTGGTTTTTATGTTTTCAACACTTGGTAAATGATTTATGATCATCTAGCGTTGAGTCAAGATTTCAAGAAAACTAATGAAGCTCTGTCTTCTGCTATTTATAGGTTAATCACCATAATTATGGCGTTTCCACCAATCAAATCAAAGTATTTAACACAGCTTGATAATAGTCTTTAAGTAGGCCTGATATTGTCATTTTTGCTTTTGCAGCTAAAATTCCTCTGGAGCATGAACAGTGATGCTTTAGTGAATCAGGCCTGTCATGACATCTAGTGGACGAGTGCAGTCTATGCAGCTCATCTTACTAATAAGTAATGATGGTCCTCATAATGATCCCAATCTCTTTAAATCAACTTTAAAAACCAGCTTTGTTAAGTTCTCCTTGGGTTTTCAACACCGATTTATCTTCCTTCAAATAACTGACTGGCTTAAAATACATATGAGGTCAACGGCAGATTAGCTTTGTCACATTACAGGCAACAAATGGGATTACATGGTCAGCGGTCAAAGGTTACTGGTAATGGATTGGTCAAGAGGTGTGAGAAGGACACATGAAGCTATTCCAATGTTTTATTATTCTTTCACCGGCATGCATTAGCTTCTTTGACTTACATATTATGTATTGCACATGTTAAGTATTTACAGGCTAATCCTATTTGTATATGCAACTAAACTTGAAGTAGACAAAAAAGTACTTGGAAAGGCAGATGATAATAAAAAATATATTCTTATAGCCATATATGAAATGTACATGGTATAGAAGTCTAGATACCTAAGATACACTATGATAAGATATGCTATGATATGATACGATACGATGTGATCTAAAACACTATGATATGATACAAAATGATACTATGTTTGGGTAACAATTTACAATAACCATAATTTATAGATGGTAAATAGATAGTTTATTAATGCAAGTTAATAGTTACATTAACAAGCAACGAAACTATGATTAATAATTTTCATTAAATTATTATTGGACTACCTATGAAAGGTTTATATAGGGTTTAAATATTGGTTGTAAAACATCTAGATAAAAATGTGTGTCAGTGGCACTTTGTTAATGGTTAATACTGTTTTTTTAAACTATCTATAAACATTACTTAGATGGTTATTGTAAAGTTAGGGTTAGGTTTTTTAAATTGTAAAATTCACAACTTATTAATGGTCGATATGCCATTTATAAATGATTATTAAACATTAATAAACTATCTGCTTACCATTTATAAATGGTCTATGTACCATTTATACTGTAAGTTACGGCTATAAAGTGTTACCAATGTTGGGTTCCAGGGGTATAATAGTTGTAGGCCTACCCATGAATCAAATGAGATGATAATGCATTGCCATACTTGATATTTAATCCCATTCTAAGTCTAGATGACAATGTATAGAAACTCAAAAACAAAGTTAAGACGAAAACTCGGGTTACAACTCCAACTAACGCAAAAACTTGTGGGATAAACTCCTAAATGAATACTCAACGGTTACCAACGGTTTCTCCGACACAAGATGGCGCCCAGGTTCGCCGTCGTGTTGGTGTTTTTGAAGCTCCCTCCTTGTCGGAGGCTGACCCCTTTTCCCGCGATGACAGTTTCCTGCAGGCTGTTTCAGACGGACTAGTCGCCCTCACAGCAGGATGTACTGAAGGGGAGACGGGGTTAACAGAGTTTACCTGGTCGACATGCAGAGGATCGGGCTGGTGGAGTGAATTTTAATTTCCTTTTTCAGGGAAGAGCGAATGTAGCTGGTGGAAATAGGTGAGTGGGTTGCCTTCCTTTAAAGACAGAAGTTGTTTTTCTCTGTAGTGTTTGGTTTACGCAGTGCTGTTGGTGAAGTCCTAGCTCAGATACGTGTCACTTTGAGGAGAGAACGTCACAAGGGACTCCGTTCAAAAATGTAGTGATTTAAGAGTTTCTTCGCCCTGTGGCATAGTAATCGAACTAAGGACGAAAACAAATGTCAGCGGCAGATTAAGAAATTGATCTGCTTTCATTCGGCTTTCTTAAATCAATCGAAAAAAGGAATATTACTAAAGAACAGCCCAGTTTCACACTTTACGTTGCCTTTCACGGTGGTGTGTTTGGGTGGCAGAAGGCAGTGAAGAAAACGGCTTGGGCACTTTTTAAAGTTAAAACACTTCTAAATAACTATTTACAGATATACTGTATTGATGCCGAAACGTATAGTTCTGTATTATCAAGTAGTTTTGGTCGTTTTAGGTGCGTTCCGCAGCACCTTTTCCCCTAAGAGTCCTGTGATCTGAAAATGACAAACATTTAAAGGAGTTTTTGTATTATGTGCTGTAGTCATACCACACTGAGGACACCGGAATGACAGTTCCTTGCCTGCAGCCTGTGTACATAATATAGGCAATGAAAACATTACCTTGAGTTTCCTAAGACAATGTGGCTTTTATCTACATGAAAGAGGGATTGTAAGGTCTTTTGTTGGTATTATACAGATTAATTTAAGTTTGGCTATACATCTGTGATTTGCATGCTGGAGACTTGCAGCCTACTTGTTGAAGGGATAGTCTAATACAGGGCCACAGGAGTGGGATCTCAGTACCTTTTTAAATGTCAAAATTTCTTCTAGATTATCTCTACTAAAAAAAAAAAAACTACCTCAGGGTCTATGATTCATAGGAAGGAAACATATTTTTCCACTCAACCTACTGCTTTTCTTTCTTCACTTCCAGTAGAATAAATAAGCAATACACTGAAACTTTGGTACTCTACGATGCTCAATCGTAAATATGTAGGGTTTGTCATGATCATCCCTTCTGAAACATCTTTAAATCTTGCAGCCTAAGGCGTGTTCTTCACTGTGTTGAACAACTAAACTTATTAAAACCGCTCTGTTTGTTAAAACACTCACTTTTGCTGTCACACTGTGTCAAAACTGTTTTTCTAGGGGAAAAAATGAGTAACAGGATGGACGGTCCATCGGGCCAGGGCCCCAGGGCGAATGGGCCCATTGCAGCACCCAGCACCCCTGTGAGCTCCTCATTAGGCCCACCTCTGTCTCCAGAGGAGCTGGAGGAAGAGCCACCGTCAACTCTGACAGATGTCACCCAAATGTGGATTAAATTTGCCAAGACTTTTGCCATCATCTTCCCGATCTACGTCCTGGGATATTTTGAATTCAGCTTCAGCTGGGTTCTGATCGGACTTGCCATGTTGTTCTATTGGAAGAAGAACCACGGGAGTAAGGACTACAGGATAAACCGCGCCTTGGCATTCCTGGAGCATGAAGAGAAGGTAGTGAGGCAAAGTCTGCCTACCACTGAGCTCCCACCGTGGGTAAGTCCCTTCAGTTTTATTACAGTTCTTGTATCATCAGTACCAAGTAATCACTGCCTTGTAATTGGACTACTTTATTAGCATCACCCTATTAACATTTTACAACTGAGCTACATCCTGTACTCTTGCGGGACCAATACTCCAGAATAAAACGTTTTATCGTAGGACAATATTTTACCTAGAAGACAGTACCCAAAGAAACAAGTCTGCTCGCACCTAGCACGCTGGATACAGATCGAGGTAGACCTGTCTAATGGCTTCAGCTTTTAAGGTTTTACTCCCTCAGATGAGGTCATTTTTGTACAGATAAAAGAGGTTTACTGATTTGTAAATAAACCTTGTGTAGTGCTGGGATAGTGTGAGTCTTGGTCAACTAGAAAATTACAACTATTATCAAGAAAAAGCGACACAGTGGCACAGAAACTGCACATTACTGAATGCAATAGACGTCTTCATGCAGGAAGATTGCTCAAACCCTTTTTTCATTGAGAGCCCTTAAAAAAGACTATCTCATCATTCTTTGAAAAAAAGTCTCACTTTTCAGAAAGAACAAAAACTGTGTTATTCACAAACAGATATTATATAAACTTTTGGGGAGAATGGAAAAGAATATGTTGTGTGTTCAAGTCAGGAACATTCACGTTTAACTTTGATTTCACAACCCCAGTAATGCATCATATTGCATCGTACTGTATCATATCATATTGTATAGTATTGTATTGCGTCGCATCGTATTGTATCATTTAATGTTGTTGTGATTAAAATGACTGTAACTGATATGGGATAAAATTTGAGTAAAAACTGTTAAAAATTCACAGTAAAGTTTAGAAATTTCATCAGTTATAAGAAACTTTAAAGTGACCCAGGTCAGAGAACAGCCATCAGAAGGGTTGCAGGTTTTCTTGGATGCACCACTAGCTCCAGTTTGCCTCCAGTACCTTGACTCGGCTGAACCCTCTCTGATATTTTCACTCCAGCCAAACGCCCAAAGGAGAAGCAGTCCTCGATGAATAATTTACACCTGACCTCTGAGCCTGCGGGGTTCCTCTGGGTTGGCACTGTTTTTGAAGGAGAGTCATGAAACCTGTTCTCGTTTTCACTTTCTTGGATTCGGCATCTTGGTGTGGTTCCCTGTCTGTCAGCGTGCAGAGGGAGGACTGGCCACACGCCTCACACATAGCTGCCATTCTCTCTCTGTCTACTCATTCTCTTATTATTACATGTGGCAAGCCAAAATTACCAGTTATAAGCATGTGAGGAATGGAGTTTACCATTGGGTGTGTGCTCATAGCATGTGAGCAACCTGCAACCTTCAGAGCTAACTCTGTAGATGAGTCGGCATGTGTTGGTGGAGATTCAGTTGAGCATGGTGTTTTTCCAGGAAGGTTTTTTTAGAGCAGGATAGTGGATGGAAACGTTGAAACCTCAAATACGTCATATCTGCAGGATTACTTATGGTTAAAGAGGGCAAAACGACACGAGACTCAATGTGTGTGACCGGTACCAGTTCCCTCTCGTTAATGGAGAAGGTTCTAACCTGTCCAGACCAGATAAGCAGATATAGGCGAGAGTGACGAAGTATCATGAGCAAAAGACTGACAGATATAATTTTGAGGCCAATATAATGCCAAAGTTCTGCCCACAACCCTATCTGATTCGCCAGAGGCAATACGACTTCCTTTAACATTTCTGGAACATTTGAGTTTTGAATTTCCATGTTTTTACTGTTAATGCGTATTGGTCTACAGTCTCATTGACTGCCAGTAATGGATGTCAGTATCAACCCTAAAAAAACAGTTGTTTTCATTGGGATTGATGGATTTGGTCCAAGCTAGGGCTGAGAGATAAGGGGAAAAGTTAATCACGATATATTTTTTTCAAATCAGTTGATATCGATGAATATCTTGATATAAAAAAACACTTGTCAATCTTTAATGTTCCCTGTTGCTCTTAAATCACAATTTAACAGTGCTTATTGGTAGCACGTCTTTTGCAATACAATAAGCAACTGCATATGTGAGGTCTTTGTGTCTATTTGACATTTTGTCATAAGACGTTGTGCTAGAGAAAGTGAAATGGTCAGCTGCATGTGTTAAAGTGCTATGGTTGCGTGTAGCTGCAGCCTGCTACTACGCAGTTGCTACGTGGTTCTAATTCAGCACATGATTGGTTCAGTGCAGTGCGAATCGGACCCACTCCCCTTTTCATTGGCTATTCATATAGTCTACCAAAACATGGCAGAATGCCGACAATTGAGAAGCACATTGACCATGTTTGATATCAATATCAAGGGAAATTAATTTTTGATACTGTTATTGTTTTATTGCCCAGCCCTAGTTCAAGCCGTAACAGCTATTTATAGGAACGATATTGGTTTTGTCTGATGATAAATTAAAAAATTACTCATTGATACAACAGGTTCTGGAAATTTCCAGGTGATGCACTGACTATATTCACCCAGTGACAGCTTACACACGATGCAGGAGAAACTTTCCCTCCTCATAAGTAATGAAAGGTGGGTGTGGATATCGGTATCAGACAAATTGAGTTTGAAAATAATACTAAAAAGTTTCCCAGACCAGAAAACTGATGTTTGATCCACAGCATCAAGTATGATTCAGTCAGATCTTTGGTGTAATTGTGGAGCTTCTCCCTGCTTTGAAGCTGCACAATCATTCCACCCCAGACTTGTGAAATCGACACAGAAACTCAGTTCCTCAGTGATAAGGATGCTTCTGTTATGCAATGATATTTCTGATGATGATAATGCAGTGAATCCGTGAGAAGCCGAGTGGATGGCAGCGTGCCAGGTAGACCCAAACAGCCTCCTCCCTTCATCACATCCTTTATCACACAGACCTTGAGAAACTCGGTGCTGAGCGACAGCAGAGACGCTTTCCCGTAGAGCAGCTGTCGTTTTTGTTGTGTTGTGAGTCAGCGCTCTTATCTTTTGTCTTTATGTTGTTATTTTCACCACGTCTGTGTCACAGAGGTTTAAACCTGCACCAACAACATTTGGATGCGTAAAAGAAACAGTGATGATTGGCAGCTCATTGTTTGTTTGATTAAAGGGAAACCGAGGATCCAGTGAAAGGCTGCCACCGCATAAGTGTGTCACTCTGATAACCAGCCAAACAATCAGCTGCGAACTTTGACCCTTGAAAGACGCTGACACTCTGTCTGTCCCTGATCTACATTCAAGACGCTAAATCAATTTCACCTTTATCACACTAACCTCAGAGCTGGTTGATGAGCTGCTGATAGAAAGTATTGGAGTCGTCACTGAGCAGCGTTAGGAGCTGTTTTATAAAAGCAGTACCTCTGAATTAGCGAAAGTCCATGACTGGTCTTTTGTTGGACTTAAGGTCCTTACACACCGGGAACAACGCAAATATAGAACGCAAAATTACGAAATATTCTGAAGCTAGTTTTGACGCGCCTGACTATACACATCAAGCGCGATGCGATTTTGCGACTTTCCGGGGGGAAAAAAGATGCGTCCCGGGTGGAAGCAAGAAGACTGACACAACAGCAGACTGAGTGTTTTTCAGTTCTGATTAGACTCTAGTGTTGAGATGTCTGTCTGTCATGATAGCATGTACTGAGTCGGGGCCAGTACCAGATAGATAGATACCAGCCGGTTGGCCATGTTGCATACCGATGAATTTGACGTCGCAACAACACGCAATCTGATTAATCAGAAGTGGACACACAGTATGCGAAACTTTAGAAAAATAAACCTTAAAAAGAAAAAAATATTTTTTCTTACAAAAAAAAGAAAAAATAAATGCCGCAATAACCCAGGACAGGAAAACGTCACTGATGTGAACGCTTGTAATGACAGGATACGGGTGCTAAAAAAAATTGACGTCCGAAATAATCAGACGAAAAAAAAACACTTCCTGTGTGAAAGGACCTTAAGTGTCCTGAAGATGAACCCCAAGTTTATACTTAATGAAGTCGACAAATTCAACTTTTGATTCTACTTTTTTTAAATAACCTGGAACGGTTTTCAGCTCATTTTTTTGTCAATTTGATGAATAAATAAATTTCAAGAAACGCATTACCATCCTGACTCGTCTGATTCTAGCACAGTTATCTTGGCTGCTGCAACTTTCTTAAAAATATCTGCTCAATAAAAATACTTTCTCAATCAGGGTCTGAATCCATATACGACAGTAAGTGATACATTTCTAAATATTGCTAAAAATGTTCACTTAGTTTTGGATGATTTTCAAATATCTGTCAAACCTAGAAACAGAAACCAACAGTTAAATAAATGTTTGTGTTTGGCCAACGGTTATTAGTCCCTGAAACATAATTTTTTAAAATGGTTGTTAAAACTGCCACATCTCTGTTTTCTCATCTTTAAGTTGGTCCCTGGGGTAGAAATGTTTCCACTTTATTAATCTCCATTTCTATTTAACTTTACAGCGAGATAAACGTTGAATGCTTTAAATTCTCCCAAACGACAAACAGTCGCTTTGTTTATGAAACCAACAAAATTAACCTCTTCTGCAATGTGCTGGCACGTAAACTATGATCATGAGTGAAAAATGGATTCTGGTCCAGAGCCTGTCGTCTTTGTGGCTCGCTCTCTCAGAGAAATATTTCCAGAATGAGGTTTGATAGGCAGTGTGGGCAGCAGCTCAGGGTTCACAGGCCAAGAATGCCTGAGGTAATAACACAGTTTTATTTTAGTTGAAACACTCTAACACTGCGCAAAAAGCTGTTATCAGCACACGAAAAGATGCGTCTGTAGGGGATTTTTTTTAGGGCAAAAACAGGTGGAATTTTTCTCTTTCTGAGTATATGAGAATATAGTCGTTGGCACGTAAACGTTCTTCTCAACTGACCTGGCACTGTTTGAACCACATGAGCTGGAAAATCAAAGTTTTTGAAGAAGAGAGAGCAGAGGTAACAGAGTCAAAGTCTCTTGATGTGATTAGTAATGCATGACACGACACAAGACTGAAAAAACGACTCAAGAAACGAGCTGCAGCTACCGGCCGCAGATCAAACCCAGTCATCTGATTGTCGTGATTTAACATCAAATACAACTTTAGTTTGAAATTAGTGGCAGGGACACAAAGGTCATCCCAGGAAGCGGAGGACTTTCAAGGTGTAATTTATGTTTCGACTGCAGTGCAGACATAATAAAACCTGTGCAGCAGCATTACCACAGCTTGAGATTTGGGTTAGTAAAGTTAAGGTATGGAAGTTGTACATAAGCTGGCGGATATAGGCCACAGGTTCAACAACATTCCTGTCAAACTTAACACCAATACGGAAGTGGATATCTCAGCTGACAGAAATATGGGTCTAGTTAGCACATATTGAGTGTCACATTGTTTTGACTGGTTGTCAACACCTCCTACTTCTGTCTCAGCAGCAGAGGATGTGTGAGGCGCGTAGGCTGCATTGTCAGAAATTTGTTCCAGTGTCGAGATAACTTTTCTTGACTTTTGCTGCAGTATACTTTATGTTCTTATATTGCTGTTAAAAAATTTGATGAGACAAAACAGATGCTGTAGTTGTTGGTCTTGAACCTCTGTCCTATCAGAATCCATTTTGCTTGTTTTGTATTATTTTATCTCATAGACGACAGTAGAAGCAAGAATTGTAGAGTAAGTAAATTGGATTGTTTTAGATTTTTGGTGCTATCTCAAATCTTAACTAATCAGGAGGAGTTGCACTGTAAAGAGCGAAGGGCAACATTTGAGATGCCAGACAGCCGACTGACAACATAGATGATGCAACTCCACCTCCCCCTGTTGTATAATATCAAAGACCACATTCCTCCTGCAGTGGTCCCTGAAAAACTCAGCATTTTGAGACACATCGTGTATAAGAGGCTTAAGTCAGAAGGAATACTTCCTTAAAATTTTTTGAGACATAAATTTTAAAGTTTGACTCGTGTTCCATCTGTTTACATGGTTAAGGTAAAGAGAAAAAAGGTCAATAAGCAAATGTCAAGGCCACCCGACAGTTTGTAGATTGGCGACTGAAAGTCTTGAGTTTGACATTTTGACCTGAGTCGGTTTTGTTGTAGCCTGAAGGGACCGTGTACTAGAAGTCATTTTCAAGGCTTTTGTGCCTTCATTTTGGAGGTGAGAGGACAGAAAATAGAGCAGAAATTTGAGAGAAAATGGGGAGTGACATGCAGGGACAGGGGCCACACACTAAAATTAAACTTGAGCTATAGCTCATGGGGTGCACACTTGACCCACTAGGCTAACAATGCCGTTATTTGACCATATTCTGATGAGAGAGATAGTTCTGTGATTCTATCCAAATATGATAGAGGTTTTATTGCTCATTTCAACTAGAGAAGGACCATGTTATACCTACCTTAGTTTTACATTTTATCAAGTTTGGATAATCTTACAATTTAAACTATTTATCTTCCCCGGTTGTTTAAAAACTCATTTCTTTCTCCATTTAATACAAGATTTCAGGTACTGTCTCTTTAAGGCCCCCCTTCCCAACAGGCCCACTCTCTGTTGATTGGCCAGCTCTTTAGAACCCTGCCAGGATAGAACTTTGTTATAGTTACATGAATATCAAGGGAATTCCATGGCTTTGTGATGTCACAGAATTCCGTGGTTTAAACAGTGAGGTGAAGCTGGAGTCTAGACCAGCCTGCAGACTGAGCTTTTGAAGTTCAGATGTTCGTTACATATCGTATCAAAACTTAACTGCCAGGTAGGAGGAATATACGACATTTTAACAGCAGAATCTTAAAAAATATGGAATAGCTGAACACCTTAGACTGTATATAGAATGGACAGAGTCTACCTCCTCGCTGGGTGAAGCCACTCCGAGAACAGCACCCTCTGGTGATGGGCTGCAGTATAGGAGTATGCAGTATACAGCTCTGTTTTTAAAAGTTATCAGGAGATTCATGTTTTTTATGATTGACATTTGATACAGCCTATGGGCATACAAAGATTGCGTAGCTCACCCGGGGATATGCTGTTTGAGCCGAGCGCCATCACAGCGACTCTCCCGTTGAGTGCGTACAACGTTACTGCACAATGTTGGTTTTAGGAAATGAAGAAAAAACGTGGAATTACCGAGAACTTTTCGGCTTTAAATCTGTTTACTGGTGGGAGGTGGAACCAAGTTGTCCATAGATACAGTCTATGGTTAACACCCATTTGAAAAAAAACTGTCAAACGAATTTACCAAAATATGAGAGGCTGACTCCTTAATCTCCGATTTCTAAGCTTGAAGCTACATCTGCAGGTGAACAAATACCTGTAGGAAGTTTTTTACTCACTGTTTCTTAAAAATCTTCTCTGAAATGATGGAGGTTTTATTAATTCTCTGTCCACAGGACAACAAAGATGGATTAAAAAAAACCAAAAAACTTTGGTGTAAAAACTCTGTTTCAAGGGAAACAGATGTGAAGGCTAAGGCCAAAAAACCTCCTTTATTATAAATATCCTGGCATGTGGACTAACCTTAGATACAGAACTGATATCTGTCAAAACTTTGGTGAAGAGCCCCCAGACCACAAAACAGAGAGGCATCAAATCTTGATTTATTTGTTTGTTTGCTGCCTTGAAACTTTTCCCATCAATAATGAAGAGGTTGGTGGAGAGTGGCCTCAGTGGGCAGTTCCTGGGTGTGGATGAGATGATGTAAGTGTACGAATATGAAGCTTTGTGTGCTGTAAACATTCAGCTGTAGCCCGATAAACCTTCAACCTGAGAGGTGACATGGTCTGTTATCGTGGATTAAAACAGTTCTCAGTAGAAGAGAAGATTATGAAAAGTTAATTCAGCCGCAGTGTAACAGTTTACCACCCTGTGTCTCTTTCTGTTTCCCTCACCCCTCTCCTTCTTCCTCCCCTCGGTCTCTGTGTTCTCGTATGACTCGTGCTGCTGGGTGGGGCTTCATTCGCCCTTTTTGAAGTGCCACAGGGTGGGGCTCTGCTCCACAGCACAGAATGGAAACAATGTGGAGGAACAGACAGGCCTTGTGCTGCGCTGAACTGCTCTTACAGACAGACTCTGTTTGGTTTGCTTTTGGAGTGCTTTTCGAGCTCATTAAGTTCACTGAAAAGAAAACTACTATTTGATTCATGTGCTGCCAACTGTTGGGGGTTTATAACTTTGAACAGAGGAGAAAATTGTGCTTTTAACACTCTGTACTCCAAGAATTCCTGCAACTTCACAACCACCTAAGAGGGAAAAGTCAACCATATTCACTGTCCTGATTAAAAACCACAGTACATCCATAACCTGATTATTAGATATTTAAACTTTGAGGACCATCTTTTACTCATACTACTCACTCTTGGCAGCATTGCTATGTTTTTATACGTGTTATTGTGCTCTTAAACCTGTAATGAATACACCCAAAGCTTAAGAGGCCTATATTTGGTCCCAGTTTCACTGTTAATATGAAGTTTAACAAAAATTTCAATGAGGCTTCATCCAGCTAAATACCACCAGAACAGTAATTGTTTGAATTTCTTGTTTGTTTCGTCTCTTGTTTGGATTGAGGTCTGTTTCGTTGTAAATATTTGGCGCCACAGTGTTTTTAATCAGACTTAATTTAGCAAAATAACGCCTGAAAAAACGGACCAAGATTTCCTGGTTCTACCATCAAATCATCTATTTCTGGTAATTCTCAATTTCACTGTAACATGAAATCCCACAGAGGTTTCACTCTGGCTTTACCCCCAATTTTCAAATGTCAAGTAGTATGAAGTAGTATGCAAACTAAAAGCCATTAGTTCTTGGTTCATCACCTCTCAGGAGCAGCACCCTTCCATCTGTATCTGGAGGGTCTCAGTTTCACTGTAAGATAGGAAGTTACCAAGAGGCCTTCTCAGCTTTCTAACCTGAGCAAAATGAACCCTGAAGGAAACCAGTTTTTGGATTTACTAACAATTTCAGGCTTTTGTGTCACGACATCAAGTAAATTTGTTGCTTATGTTAAGGAGTTAAATTTAGAGCTGATAATTCGCTGCACTATCTAAACTCAGTTGAATAAATCATTGTCGGATTAGCACTGATGGGAGCTTGGGTATCATTCAGCATAACAGAGCTCTCGGATTCCCGTTACTGTAATTCCCGGCAGCACTTATCCTCCTCACATCCTCGACAGCTCCTCTCTCTCGCTCTCTCTCTCTCTCTGAGCCTATATTTAGACGTCAGCAAGGAGAAACTGTCTCGTCATCTGGGTCTCCTCTTTCTGCACCTTTCAGCGCCTCTGCAGACACTGATCGAGCAGCTCTCCTCCTCCCTGTTGTTGTTGTTGTTGTTGTTGTTGTCACCTTGCAGAGAAGAGTCGCTGGTCTTTTGATGAAGACTTGTGCAGATTTTCAGTTTTCATACAGTGACAGCAAACATTCGTAAAGCTGTCAGGAAATGCACTTAGTCTCTTGAATTTTAAATGAATGAATTCCAGTGCCTGCTGACAGCTTTATTGATCCGCTCCACACCTCTCTCTCTCTCTCTCTCTCTTTCTCTCTCTCTCTCTCGTACACCAAAGCTTTGTATGGGAGGTGTGGCCGTGGAGGGAGGCTAGGATTTCCAAACAGCTGTTTCATAGTCGGACAGTGAGACTCGCCCCTTTGACCTGCCGTGACACAGAGTAACACTCCCGCATTCGTCGGGGATGCCTCAGTCCTCCTGACGGATCAGTGTCAGAGTATTTGTGCTTTTCTGTCTGTAGCAGCGGGTCACGTTTGTCCCTCAACTTCCTGTTTCAGTCTTAGTGTTCCTGTCTTTGTTGTTTTTGCCTTAAAGGGGAGAAATGACAGGACTGCAGCTGACTGTTTTAACGACCACATGAGTCACCCTTTCCTCATTTTACTCCTCCGTTATATCAATGAAGCGGATGCAGCTGTCTGGTTCAGGTACACCACAGAGGACACAACAGATCACAGATAAAGATTCCACCTTAAAGACGTCTCTGTCCTCAGTGTTAACGCAGGCGTGATTGATTTGTTTCCCATTTACATGTTCAGATGTAACTTTGCCCTCTCTGTCCTCGAGTAATCAGAGACATAAGCTCAGAAGGGTTGGGCATTGTCTGATTTTGAACGGTTCGGGTTCTGATTCCGAGTTCTTGCTTCAATTCCATTTCCTAACGATTCTCTATTCTGACTCCGGTATCAGAACTTGGAATCAAAATTTGAAAATTTGAAAGGTACTTGGAATCTGAATGTTAGTCCCGGTCCCCATCGATGCTTGAGACTCGATGCCTAACCCTAGTCCTCAGTAGGGTTGGGCATCGTTACATTTTGAACAATCCTGGTTCTGATTCCGAATCACTTGCACTTGCACTTAGATAAGATTCTCTCTCTGTGTGGCTTCGTCTCATATGCTTCTTCCTTGTTGGTGTTCAGCGGCGGCTTCTTCTTCGTTGGTGTTCAGTGGTATCTTCCTTATTGGCTATTTCTTCCAGTCGGCGGACTCCGGCATCGAAACTTGGAATCGAAATTTTAAAATTTGAACGGTACTGGGAGAATTGGAATGTTAGTCCCGGTTCCCATCGATGCTCGAGACTCGATACCCAACCCTAAACCTCGGTCAGTGGTTGGATTATGAAGAAAACTACTATCCTGAAGACTTTGAATCTAGATTGTCTAGACTGTGTTTTGTGCACTGAATTAGAAGTTCTCTTGTTTTCATTCTTGTTTCCACATCTAAAGCTGGCACAGTCCTCCCTGTTTCTGTGTCTTAAAAATTTCGTCTTTCTGGGGTGAATGTCAAAACCTCAGCAAAGTTTCCTCCCTCCTCCCCAGTGATGCCATCCTGACTCTGCAGCTGTACTTATTGTTGTTTTTCTTCTCTGTATGAGCAGATCTCTCACCACCGCCTACTCGGGTTGTAACAGCAGCTCATTTTAGTCTCAACAATTTCACACCAGCGGTATCTTATCTATGATATATGCTGAGTTCAGATAATAACTCTGTGTTCTGTGTTTCAGAAATAGAAACTGTAACACCCACGATATCACCACGTGATGCTGTTAGGAGGACCTATTTGTTTATTGTGACAGTGCAGAGTTGTGTTTGCACCACTTCATGTGTCACTCATGAACACATGAGCTGTGTTGGTATGAGGGCATCAGGGAAAGTAGTGTTAAATATTTTTGTAGCTACTATAATCTGAACCGCTTGAATTTCTAAAAAGTTCAGGTGCTGTGCAGGATGTGACTAAACCAGATTTGATGGGTTTCAAATCCTTTTAACTCTATAAGCACCTAGAATTACCAAAGAACAACAAACTAAATGTTAAAGAAGAAAACATTTAATTATTTTATGAAAAAAAAAAAGCTTAATTTTAAATCTAAGGTGAATAGTCGGCGCAGTGGTTTGTGCCAACCATTGTGTTGGATCACCTCTTTTAATAACAGTTTAAGACACTCATTTCTAGAGTTTTGAAAGAGAGACATTCATGGGGCATCAAATGTTTTCAGTTGTCGACAAATCAGGACTGGTGGTAGACCAGTCCAGCTCCCGCACTTGTAATCATAGACATAATATACATAGACACCTCATAGACTGCCTATTGAAGCTGATGTATCAGCACAGCCGCCATCTTGGATAGGTCCTACAAGCGCCTCAAGCGCATTTATTTATAATGGTGAAAACCGTTTGATTATAATGCCAGTCCGGAGCGGAGCACAGCCGTTCCGTATCCTTTAGAATTTAGCCATTAGACTGTAATTCATGCAATTTAAAGCAATTTTATCATTAAAATCCTTAATTTTATTAATTCTAACAAAGTGGTGATCAGCTTTTCTACAGATAATTGAGTGTTTTTAATTGTTGCTGAAATGTCCTTGTTTTCAGAGTCCAAACATCGACTCACATGGACATGCTGTCTTTTCTGAGAATGCAGTTCAGTCTATAAAGGAATCACAATCCCCCAGTTTGTGTTTATTTATTCATGCATTCAGAGAAAAAGTCTGTCGGATCCGTCTCGGTGTATTCTCCATAATGGAGTGTTTCTCTGACTTATTAAAATGAAGGGTTTCTGTCAGAGTCGATCACTTATGTAAGAGGTCTATCAGAGTCTACGATAGTCCTGTCAGGCAGGTACTTGCTTTATACAGTCGGCACTTAAACCGCTTACAGGAAAATCTCTGCAGGGTGTCATCCATTAAACGACAGAAAGGCCGAAAAGAGAAAACACATTAGTCATTTTTTTAGCCTTGCTAGCGTCATTAGCCCGTCTGTTGGTCTGAGATATCTCAGCAGCTATTAGATACATTATGAACAATGTTTGTGCTGACGTTTATGGTTTCCTAATCGATGTTTCTTTACGTCTTTATGATTTGCTGACTCCTTTTTCATGAGCTGCCAGTAAAAGCTGCACAATTCATCAAAATATTGGGAGTTCATGATCAGCCAAGGGCGTTATCCAGACTGCAGACGTGGTGTTTCTGTCAAGTTTAGAAATTAGAAGTCGTGGCAGAAGTGCAAAAAAAAATCACCACTGAAAAATAGATGAATAACAGTCTTTAACTTGTGATTTTAACTCTTTTTTTTTTCGTCTTTTTCTCATTTCAGGTCCACTATCCAGACGTGGAGCGAGTGGAGTGGCTGAACAAGGTAAAGTCAACCATCCATACACCCATACTGTTATTTCTCCTCTTTCTTGTCCTGCCCACTGGTTTGCTCTGCATCAGGAGTTATAAGCCTGTTAGCTCGGAGAGACAGGAAGGTAGGATTTATAAATAGGCTCTGAATGTGGAGCTCTGCAAGACCCTGACCCAGCGCTGCAACATCCCAGAGAGAGAGAGAGAGAGAGAGAGGAGAAAGTGAAGTGGAGTGATAGGCAGTGGTGTTATAATAACCTTTATTCGTTTCCACGTTTTCTGCAGAGGGAGACAAATAAAACACTCAGTTCGTTGAGTTACTGGTTAAATTGAAGGTTAAGAAATGAACATTTGAAAAGTGAGGAATCATGTATAAAATGAAGTAAGATTCAAATACCAGCAGACCTGATCTCCCTCAGGCAGTCTGTCCCAGAGCCTGAGGGTCCTGAGAGCAGCACTTAGTGAAAATGTGAGGATGGTCTTCCAGGAGAAAGTAAATGGATGTAAATGAGAAAGAAAGAAAGAAAGAGTCCATTTCTGTATATTCAAAGGTACATCCTCCGTCCAGTCCTGAAGTAATTAAATTTCCAAAATCTGTTCAATGACTTTTTTGATGTTTATAGGTAAAAATAAAGTAATGCTACGATACAATATGATACAATACAATACTGTATAATTTAGATACTTGGCTTCAGGATATCAGTTATTACACCATGAGTTCAGACAGTAATACATTACAGCATTAAGTCTATGAGTCGTATTGTTTTGCAACCAGCTATATATCCTATCATATGTTATATCATATCATATTAAATTTGATAATATCAAATCATGTTATATCATATAATTACCATATTTATCATTTCATATCATATTATGTTATATCATATCGTATCATATCATATCATATCATATCATTACCATATTTATTTTATCATATTATGTTAAATCATATCATAACATATCATATTATATCAAATCATGTTATATCATATCAATATCATATCATATTAAATTTTCTTATATTATATCATATCGTGTTATATCATATCATATTACGTTATATCATATCATATCATATCCTATCATACCATATCAATTCATATCATATATCATTTCATATCATATCATATCATATGTCATATCATATATCCTTTAACAGCCCAATAATAATAGGGAATAATAAATGTTTTCGTGTATCTAGCCGTCTGTCCCCTACAGACTTTAAGACTTTTTGGACTCAGACGGTTTAGAGACCGATCCTTCAAAATATCACAGATTTATTCTGTCTCTTTGTCTCCTCGCCTCCTCGTCTCCTCGCCTCCTTTTTCTCAGCCTTTAAAAATTCGTCAGCTTTGTCACTGAGTTGCAGATTTAACGCCGTGAAGAGAGAAACACTCAGACCTCACAGCCCTCACTGTGAGGCTGTACGAGACACAGATAAAAGAAAAGTCCTGGCGATTGTTCGGCAGTTTTATGACTTTGGAAAGATACTCATGTCTGTTTGAAAGCAGCCTTTGTGGACACTTGTTTTTTGTATTTGTCATGAAAATCTGATGAGAGCTTGAGTTTTGAGGACTGCTCCAACAGAGAGATATCAGACCAGTGATGAGACTCATGTGTTTTGATTTGTATGTTTTCACCATCGCCATTGCTAACCTCCCAAAAGGTCAAAAACACCTGAAAACAAGCGCACAGCAACCAGCTCTGACTTTCCCCCTGGCAGACTCTGCTGGATCTGGATTCGGTGTTTCTGTCTGACACTCTCTGTCTCTCTCCTCCCTCTCAGACAGTGAAACAGATGTGGCCGTTCATCTGCCAGTTTGTGGACAAGCTGTTCAGAGACACCATCGAGCCGGCGGTGAAGGGAGCCAACCCTTACCTCAGCTCCTTCTGCTTCACTAAGATCGACATGGGCGACAAGGTGAAGAGACGCCCAGACTCTGATGATTGTATTTACACCAAAAATACTGAATCTTCTTTATACTGAACATTAAAGTGGCACAAACTTCAACCAAATACAGACATAAAACCAAAGAAACTGAATCAAAGCTTCGGTATTAGAGTTAAAATTAAAATTCATAGTGTTATAAGACCGTGGAGGGATTTGCTGACTTGTATTTTTCATGTTTTTCTGCAGCCGCTGAGAGTGAACGGAGTGAAAGTTTACACAGAGAATGTGGACAAGAGGCAGGTCATCATGGACCTGCAGGTCAGGTAAACACTTAAGCCTCTTATCTCCACAAACTCCTCTTAAATGTTTTTTCTGGTCTCTTAGGCGTGCAATTTTTTTATTATCTCAGAAAAACCCCAAACTTTCTTTATTTTCGCACATTTGAAAAACCTTTTGTAACCCTAAAAAGAAAACTTATGAAATTTAAAAACTACTATACCTGATATAGACTGATATTTCTACTCTTCGTTCCCGATTTAAAATGACGTACACTTTAGTTATGTATTTCAATTTTCCCTGTCCTGCTTTAACGCCACATTATTAATCCGGTTTTCCTTCTTGCCTCCTTCCAGCTTTGTTGGAAACACAGAGATTGACGTGGACATTAAGAAGTACTACTGCAGAGCTGGAATCAGAAGCATACAGGTACGACTGTTTCTCACGATTCACCTCGAAGATTTCTCAGACTTTCACAAACGTTTGAATGAATATTTCATTTCTAGTTTTTAGGGCTGAAACGGTTCCTCGAGTAAATCCAGTCTCTTGATGATCTTGTGTTTTCATCCTGATCGGCCACCGGTTAGCGCTGTAAAAACAAAAGCACATATTACGCTACCACTGACCGCTAATCCTCCTGGCCAGAGTGTAGGGCTGGGTGATATGGCCTCAAATCAATATCACAATATATTGATCACTTCACCTTGACAACGATAAATGGACGATAACTACTCCACAAGCTGCTCACCCCCTCCCACATTAACTTCGTCTACTTCAGCCGCTACAACTTTTGAACCGTCCTCCATCTCCTCACCTGTCTTTCCCTCTTTGTTACGGACTGGATGGGGTGGAGTCACGTCTCTGACGTAGGACAGTGTCTTAAGAGGACATGAGACCATAGCCTACCTACACACATCCAAAAACAACTTTATTTATTTTTTTGACACCAAATAAATTGACATGGGCAAAATGAGGTTGGTTATTGTCGTAAATTTCAGTATTGGGACATTTTCGGTTTATCGCCCAGCCCTACCAGCATTTTATCCTTTCTATCCTTAAGATTTGCTCCAACAAATCCCATTAAAATGTTGTACAAATATACTTCTTTGTGTTAGTTTAGTTGAACAATTAAATAAATAAAGCTGTATTAGAAAGTAGGGCTGGGCGATAAACCCAAAATTTACAACAATAACCAACGTCATTGTGCTCATGTCAGTATAGTTATCGTCCATTTTTCGCCATCCAGGTGAACTGCTCAACATATCGTGATATTGATTTGAGGCCATATCGCCCAGCCCTATCAAAGAGGCACATTCACATTAAATTCACATGATTATAGAGGATGAAATGAGGCCATGCTTGTTTGAAGCGCTCCTGGGTTTAACCCTGACCCTGGTGTTAGTCTGCGACCTCTCCGTTGAGAGTTTTTACATAATGCGTTGACTCAGCGGCTGATAAGGAGACGTTATCCTCTCTGCTGTTGGCACAAGATGAGGACATGTTTGCTGTTCAGAGATCAGAGGGAAAGTGAGAGGAGCTGGAAAGAGGCGACGGCGCTTATAGGAGTCAATATTTGCCTTTGTGTTTGGCTTAACTTTTACAGCTGCGGCGCTGCTCTCCTCTGTGTGAGCACTTTTTATAGACTGCTGGAGACATAAGAGGCTCAGAGGAGAGAGTTTCAGCTTCAAACTTATGGTGAGTCATTTTCCAGGAGGATGGGTTTGATTAAATGTCAAACTGCAGCGCTTTCTGAAACAGGAAGCTGTTCTTCTTCTGTGAAATGACTTTATCTGCTGCTAATGATTTCTGAAGCCTCCTCCATCAGGCAGAAGTGAGCCTACAGGAGGAGGAGGAGATAATAAACAAAACACTATCTTCAATCTTTCCCCTGAACTCGCTCTGATGAGCATAATGTTGGTATTTGATTACTCAGAGTGAACTATGACCAAATTTGGTGCTGCAGACGGGTCGTCTACATATCTGAGGTTTGAGTCACTGCAGCCTCTGAGGAAGCAGCGTCCTTAAAAAACATAATAAGCTCTCAGGGGCTGTGTCCACTTTCCTTCTCAGGGATTATAAACTATGATGCCAGTAAATAAAAAAACTGGGATGGGCATCGTCTCTTTCGCCAGTTTTTCAGTTTCACGCTGTGCTCTTGTGAGGATTCTTGTGATTCTTGGCACCAACATATTTTGCAAAACCAGCATTTCACACATTCTGAGCGGAGACAGACAAGTTCAGCCTTGGGTTTTTGTTTTGTTTGTAGAGCACAAACTGGAGGGGAAAAGCACAGATTTCCACCAAGACCAGTAGTCCAGTCTTTTGATCCAGGTCTTCAAATACAGCATCCTAATAAATGTAAAACCACTTCCCCCAAAACTAAGAGATCTACCTCAAACTGTGTGTTCAATTTTAATCACCAGTCTTTGCGGCTTACATCCATCCAAGCACATTTTCTAGATACTGTATCGGATGAAATATCCCAAAGCTGTACCTGAATTAAAGACATGAGGCCAGAAAATGACTTTGCTCAAAGTTAAAGTTTTTCTACAACTTTAGAGGCGCACGAAAACTCCTTAAATTTTCCCGTAAATTGACAGTGCGCCCTATAATCCAGCGCACCTTATGTATGATTAGTGTTTGTGCTTACTGACTGATTTTATGTGGTGCAATGCGCTTAAAAATCTGCTGAAATGTGTAAGTACGACTTTAGTACAACAAAGCCGTTCCGCTCAATGGATATTCAGAGCGTTACGGTACATCGTGTCACGTACCCCTGGCCCAGAGTACGCGCTAGCAACAGTAAACCAATCAATGCGCCAATTCTTAATGCGCCTTCCAATCTACCAATTAAAAATCTGTCGAAATGTGTAATTACGACTTTAATAAGCAAAGAAGCCGTTCCGCTCAATAGATATTCAAAACGTTACGGTACATTGTGTCACGCTAGCATCAATAAAACAATCAATGCGCCAATTCTTAATGCGCCTTCCAATCAGGTGCGCCTTTTGTGTGAACATAGACACATTAATTCACAGTGCGCCGTATAATCCGGTGTGTGTTATCGCCCCAAAAATACGTTAAAATGTGGATAAATGCAGATTTTGATGGTTTGGGAATTATTTAAAAACGTCATGAGAATAAAGAATTTTATTCTTTTATGAAAAATATTTGGTCATTTTTGTTTTTTTGCTAGCAACACATCTACAAAAAGTTGTGACAGTGGCAACAAAACTCTGGGGGACCATCGGCTATTCAGTAAGGTTAATTTATATGAGGTTAATGACGTTACTGTGGATACAATACTTAAGCAGACTTCGGATATTTCAAGAAAATCAGACAAATACTGATTGATCGTACTTCTCATCAATGTTGAACCAGCTGTTGCCAGGAAACCTCTCTTACGCTGTACTGATATCACATCTAACTGACTGATTATTGACGGTTTCTGTCCTTTTTTCAGCTTCATGGAACGATGAGGGTGGTGATGGAGCCTCTGCTGGGGGACATGCCTCTGATCGGAGCCCTGTCAGTCTTTTTCCTCAAGAAACCAGTGAGTACTTTGACCTTTGACAGAATGTTGTCACAGAAATCCTCAGAACTAACAGCAGTATTTAAAGTTGTTAACTGGGAGCACCAGAACAGACACAAACTGAAACTTACCCACAGGAGCTTCAAGCAATGACTCGCACATTTACGCTTTCCTCTTTTTGTGCGGACCCACCTAAAAACCGTTTCTTTCTGACTGAGTCGTCCTGGACTTCTCTCTCTCTCTCTCTCTCTATCAGTACATTCCTCCTCTCTGACTGCTGTCTTCCTTCCTGCGCCTCAGCACTTTTTATCTATCAGATTCAGGGTTTGATATCTCGCACTCTCGACGTGAGAAAGAAGAATCACCATCAGAAGACTGAGATGGAGATGTGAAATCATTCCCCTCTCCTCCAGAATTTGTTTTTCTGTCGTTTAGTGAAAGGAGGAATCGGCTTTGACAGACAAACAGGATTTAATCCAGTTAGACTCGGTTTGTCTGATCATCAGGAGGTGATGTCTCATGTCTGTAGTGCAGTTGCATAAGTCAGTCGTGACTGTTTTCGGCTGTACTTAGTTGACTGGTAACCATGGCGCATTGTTTCCCAGTGATGTCATTGGACTCACATACCAGTCATTGTTGCTTTTACGGCCACAAGCAACAGTTTGAGGTTTCAAACAAAGGAGGGAGCTTTATCTTCAAATGAAGAATGTATCACTCCGGGTACGGATCGGGTTCTGTTGTACCTACCTTTGGTTTCATGAAGAACATAATCCGGTTATTGTTTGAGCTCAGGTTGTGGATTATGTTGAAATCAATGCCTGGATCGGATTAGCTGGAGGAATGTGCAGAAAATCAGTCCCAGAGAGAAGGAAAGTTGAGAAAAACCATCTAAAGTTTGATTTTTTTTTCTAATCAATAAAAACAGATACAGGAACACAAAAACACAAGAACACGGGGGGAGGGGCCACACTACTTTGTAACATAAAAATGTTAGCCTGGCTGGGCCATCCAGTTGCGTGAATCACTTGCCGTTCCTTCCCACAACAGTCTGGACTTCGGCCAATTGGGACAAGTATTACAAATCAGAAAAAAAACGGGCCAACCACTGACTGTGTTTCCACTGTTCCCCGGACAATAGGGAAAGGCAGCCCCCTGATTGGTCCATGTGTAGATGGTGACATCTAACACATCATGTGGGACTTTTCAAAGCGCCGTTCATTCAGAACGCCGTTTATTCTGCAGCTGACTTTGCAAAGTCGGCAGATATCGTTTAAATACACGTTGAAATATTACCAAACCTTTACTTGATGTTTGAGAGCCCAGCAGGGAACACAGTTGCGCACTGTGATGACGTCAGGTTACGGTGGTTGGTTACAATAGTCTGTCTATCAAGGAAAGTACTCCCGCCCACTTTTAGGGCTCCCAATTGACCGAAGTCCAGACTGTTGTGGGAAGGAACGGCAAGTGATTCACGCAACTGGATGGCCCAGCCAGGCTATGAAAATGCTGTTTTGTCCATCTTACAGCCGACAGCTCTGTTTTAATTTGGAGACTGTAGGTCATTTGTTCCACAGATCGAATTTCTTCTACAATGTCCAGCCAGTGATTCAGTCCAGGTGGTTCAATTCTCAGCCAACTTGTAATGTTCTTCTTAGCTGCAAGAGATAGGACTTTGAACAGGTGTATGTCTTCTTTACTTCTTACATCGTCTGGTATCAGTCCTAGATAAATAAACCGAGGATCCTTAGGAATATTATATCCAAGAATTTCACCCATAGCTCTTAAAACTTCCTCCCAAAATGACCAAAATATATGAGAATGGTTGGCATTCAGTTGCCCACAATTTCTCCAGCAATATTGTTCTTGGCTTAATTGTTTATTTTTGATTTTGGGTGTAATAAAAAAAAAACTTGTCAAATTTTTCCAACCAAACTCCCTCCTTTCTTTAGAGCTGGTTGATGTATGTTGGGTCTTAAATACAATTTTATATACTCTGTATTTATTCCCAGTTGTTTCAAAAGACTCTTGCACAGTTTAAAGACAATTCTAGAAGGAGTTTGCTTGAACGCCCCTGTCAACACCTCAATCACATCATTCCCTTCCAATGAGAGTTCCCTCTTAATTTCCGTCTCATAAAAGTCTCTTTGAAGGTACTTGAATAGATCTCTATTGTCGAAGTTTGATCATTTTAACCTTTAAGAGCCAAAAACTAAAATTTGCTGTTCGTAATCCACTTACACGACCTTTTTTTGGCATCTGAAATCGTCTCTGTCTCGTTTATCGTTGCATATCCAACATGGTGACCAAAGTTCAGTTGTAAAATCCTGTTTTTCTTTACACGCTGTTATCTTACGTAATCTGATATTTCAGGAGCAGTCGTTTGTTTTTCTCTTAATTCTGCTTCTGCCAGGTTTGAGTTTCTTCCTGTGCGACTTTGGCAGAGCAGCGTTGTGGTCCACTGTGGTCTACATGTAGAGTGCTAACTAGGCCACGGAAATACACACCCACCTCTTCACTGTTCAGCACACAGACACACACGCACACATGCCAGCAGCCACACACCCACATATACATTTAATTTGTGAAATTAGTCACACATCCCTGCTGACAGCTTCTGTTGTTGACTCGAGTCTCAAGACATTTTTTCAGACGTTCATTTTCGCCTGAAAACTCGTCAGCTCTCTTGTTTTAGGAAACACTAATGATGTCTCTTGGGCTTGTTTTTTTTTTAATTATGTGTGTCTGAATTTAGGCGCCCGCTCCATGACTCACCTGTAAAACCGTGATCATATCCCACAGTAAAATTTAAAAATGAACATATATGCTCATTTTTAATCAAAGTTGGACATGTTTACCAATGTGTTGTTGCATCACCTCTTCCTTTAACAACACTCAGTAAATGGTTGTGAACCAAGGAGGCTGGTTTCTGGAGGTACAAAATTCAGGATTTCAGCCATTCTACACTTCAGAGTCTCCTTTGCTGCCTTTCCAACTGGTGACCGGTCAGGACCACTTTAGCATGTGGACTCTTCTACTAGGGAGCCATGCTGTTGTAATCGTTGCTGAATGCGGTTCAGTGTTGACTTGCTCATATATGGAAGGCCTTCTTTGTTAAAGTCGTTGTCTGGATGGCACCATATGTTGCTTCTGAACTAGGGCTGCATGCATAATCGATTTTTAATCATAATCAGATTATTTGATTATGACAATGTTAAAAAATTCAAATCGTCAAATCCTCTCTATCATGTCTCGCGCCTCCAGACCACCATAGACTCCGCCCTCTTGTCGGAGCACTCCCCAGTTCTCATACACACCAGTGTAAACAAACATGGCATTTGCAAAAGAAGGCGGTAATTTTGTGGCTTTATGGGACACTGCAAAGTCTGTCTGAAGGAGGAAACGCTAAAGTTTTTTTGCCCACACGGAAACAAAGTTTCGGGTGACTGTAAACGGTACTCGTGTCCGGCCAAAACAAACTTAATGCTCATGCTCCATACTCTTCCTCTGTCTTTTGTTTTTCCTGGGCAGGATTACAGCGCCACTCAATGGCTTGGCATATGCACTACATGGTTTTTAGTGGTTTCATTTTTGAGAGACTATCGAAAAACTTATTGTTTTTAAAGTGAAGTTTGGTGAAGTTGTCACTGTATAAAAAAATCAAGTTTTGGCCCAAATCGTGCAGCCCTAGGTCACTTCCTTGATACCTCCCCCCCAGTACTCCACAGATGCTGTTTTTTAAACTGTACTGGGTTGTCCCTTTTACTCTGTTGCAATGTCCATTATTTCCAAAAGTAATGTTAAACTTTGACTCGTCAGTTTTCTTCTACTGGTGTAACATTTATCACTGTTACCATCACTTCTGCCCAGACTGTTACTCAATGACGCAGCTGCTGTTGTTCAGTCAGGGTTGAAAACATGATACTGGGTAGATATCAGGGTGTGTCAGGAATGTGTGCTGGGATTTAGCCTCGCTTGTCACAGCAGTGCATTTTAATGTCTGATAACCTGACATAATATGACAGTATGTGACTTCTCATCATAGTCCTGTTTCCCTGGTAATACAGTGGCAGTAAAGAAGCTTCATAACAGGGTTAGAAAACCAGACTAGGCCCCCTCTCTGAAGATGAGAGTCCTTGTTCACTGTGGATGTTTCCTTTACGGACTGAGTGTAGGAAACTTGTCAGTACCTGCAGAGCGAAGTTTCATAATTTCTCCAAACTCAGATTTGTACATAAGTTTTGTTAGCTTGTAATGACAGGAAATACTTGGTGGAGCCCAATGAGAGGCAGCAGCACCTCCCACAAGGATAATCTCTTTGTGGTGTTTTCCCAGTTCTGCCTGCATTTAAATTATAATGAAAGTCTTAGTGGGTTTGAACGGTTAATATCAGTGTCTTATCTTGAATAGGTGAGAAACATTGTAGAGGTACAAGTCATGTTATACCGTTTGTGACCTCTCTGATTGTTTATTTTTATATGTACAAAGAGGTTTTAAACTCTTGATTCAAATAACAGACGCGTATACCTCCCTTTACAGTGCTGCAAAAGATGACATTTTTCTGTTAGCGTTTTGAGCAGACCCATAAATAGACCCTTGCATCAGGTCATCTGCCCTGTAACTTTTAAAGTCTATTTATGTTTATTTTTCTGTGATCTTTATTGTGTTTGCATCATGTTTGTTTTCTTCAATTTGGTTGATGTCTCTGTCATTCAGCTCTCTGTCTTGCTACTTTCTTCACTTGCTTCTTCACTGCTTTCCTCCTTTTTTTGCCGATGCCTCGTTAGCCATTAACCACAAATCTCACCTTTTATACCCTGTAAGTAAGCCATTAAGGGTGACCGTTATGGGTTTTCCACCAATCAGAACACAGCCTAGTAATATAGCTTTGTATTGGCTATCAACCAGTGATGCAACACGCCTTGTTATACTGGAATTTCAGTTCAGTGAGTCATGGATCAGAGCTGTTATGCAAGCAAATTACTTAATTTCTGAAAACTGGCACAAAATGTATTGAATGTAAGTGAAACTGGTTTGTTTTTCAAAGAGAGCGGGATTCAGACTTTTGTTTGTTTTAAAAAGCTTCCTTATATTATGATATTATCATGTCATTTGATCGTTCACACTCAATGAGTTTCTACACCATATGGTAGCGAACATGGAAAGAGAACAATCGGCCTTGTTTACTGAACAGAACATACATAGAATTTAGTCACATAACTGCTTGTACATTTAATCAGATTAACACAGTTTAGATGTACATTTCTTCACGTGTTGAAACAGTCTTACTTCTGTGTGGCAAGACTTCAGGAGTCGTCTTATATTTTCAAGGAAAAGACAATCGCAGTATATCAGGCGTTAGTATAAGGAGCAAGAACTCAAACACAGAAGAACTCAAACAACTAAAATATAACCAAACAAGGCAAAATGCTCAGAGATAGAATCTCAACAGTTTCCTTAAGAAGTTTTATTTCATGCAACCATCAGCTAAATCTAAATAATCCCCATTACTAACCAACAACCAACCAAGTGTACAAACAAGGTGACACTTATATTGACCGTGCGATTATTTTATTGACATAGTAATGATTTAATCATGCATCCAAAATAACAGGCCCTTGGATTTAATGGTTGCTTGTGCCTCTAAAGCCAGCAGTATTCTCATCAGCCCAAACAGTAATCAGACTAGCCTGATTATTATTTCTTTTTTTCTTTGTTAACATGGATTGATCTGGTGTATGCGATGCTGCGAACAAGTTGCTCCTAGCATTTGCAATTAAGAATTACTAATTGCTACCAGGGGGTTTGACCAGTTGGAATCAAGCAAATGCTGCATTCCAGTTAGCTCAGAAGACAGAAGTCCGAGCTGAAAATGACGTCACACCTGAGCTGTTTTATTGGTCATCAGTTCATTTCAGTTGAAAGTTCCGATTCTGAGCTCGTACATTCCTACTTCTGAGAACAACTGGAACGCACCATAAGCTCAAAGCACAGTAAAGATTGAAGCATTAGAATGAGATCAAGGTAATAGAACGATATCAGAAAATTGGAATGAGATCAAAGCAATAGAACACGATTAAAACATTAGAATGAGATCAAGGTAATAGAACACGATTAAAACATTAGAATGAGATCAAAGCAATAGAACACGATGAGAGCATTAGAATAGCATTAAAGTGATACAGAGATGTAGAAAAAAGGAGATGAAAGTGTAAAAAGAATAGAGGCAGTAGAATAAAGAAAACCATTATAAATTATGAGAGATGATCTGTTCTATTATGTAACTGCTGTTTATTTCTTAATGTAATGTAATTTCAAAGACTGTTGGATACATTACCTTATCGTGTCCATCCTGTCCTAATGAGAGCTAAGCCAATCTGCTCAGCTGATTGATTATTTGATGGATTGAGTTTAAAGTTGAGCTCCTGCTGCTGCAGCTCTGCTGAGTCATGGCAGCATCCTTAAAGGGATGATAATTAGCAGATAAAGAGTTACAAATGGCTGAACTGTGGAAAGATTTTCTAACCATTTCTTTGCAAAGTGAAACAGTTTGGTTTTATTTCATTTGATTTGATATGGAGTCGTTTGTCTGCTGTAATGAGGGAGACATTGAGATACAGATAAATTGTTTTTGGTTTATTACATTTAAACTGATTACACTCTCTATATGGCGATCTTGAGGAGAGTCAGTCTCTGAAAAATGTCACAGACTGCTTTTCCTTTACTCCTTAGGTTAGGTTTGTTTTAGCAGAAATTTGTTACTTATTGGTTTCAAACTGAGTTTTTGTTTTTTTTTCTGCCTTTTAGCTGCTGGACATCAACTGGACTGGACTCACCAACATGCTGGACATCCCTGGAGTCAAGTAAGAGACTGAATGTTGTGTATAGAACTATTTTACAAGATGTTTCATGTTTAATGTAGATATTTGATGATTAAATAGGAGCAGAGGAAAGAAAGGAGGGATTAGAAAGGGAGAATGTATAGAAAAAATGAGAGAAAAGAAAAAAGAAAGATGTAAGACAAAGAAAATAAATGCCAAAAAGAAAAAGAAAGCAGAAAAAAAATGAAGACATAAAGAAAGACGTTTGGAAAAAAGTAATGAAAGACAGAAATTAACAGAAATGAAAGATGAACAGAAAATGATGAAGGTTGCAGGTTGATGAATGAAAAAAGGAAGGCAATAATTAAAAAGAATAAAAGAATAAAAAAGAGAAAATGGCATATAAAGATAACAATAAAGATCGTTCAATTGAAAGAAGAGAATTGAAAACAAAAAAGATTGAAAAAAGATTATTTAGAAAAAAAGAGAGTAAGTCAAAGTTCACTGCTCTATTTACTTTATTTTACCTTAAACACACACCTGTGGCCTGTAGAGGTTAAAAAAATGTTTGCGGTGTCATCTTAAGCGGAAATAAGTGCTTTGATCATGATCTTTAAAAAATGAGGTCAGTTGACCCTGTTTTCAGAGGACTGTTGGCCCAGCTAGCTTCTTGTTTTTACCGCTGATTCCTCGTTAAAAGTCTGAACTGACTGTAATCCAGTGTGGCTAATAAACTTATTAAAGACGTGTTACTCTGCAAAAACAAAAAAACATCCAGTTCAACTTTATCCATCATGTGGCGGTGCATTGTGGGAACGTTTCAAACTCATGATGGACTGAGTAAAAATGTTATTATGGTGTGGTGTCATGCCACCAAACCTCCTTTCACATGCAAACTCTGGGATCAAGAGAGGCCGCCGGAGTGACTTCAGCGCTCATGAATTCAAATGTTCTCATTTAAATGAGGCGCAGTGAGACTGCAGTGTTTGTCCCGAAAATAGATCCTTGTTTCATGAGATAATATCTGATAAATGTGAACTCTAAACATTTGGAAAAGCTACAAACAGAAAGAGCAGTCGGTATTTTTCAGAGCGTGTAGCAGCACATCCTTCCTGCTCAGTTTAATGACAAGAGACGTCCCGGTGGACCCTCAGTCGGAGCAGGTCTATCAGACTCTGAGTCTCTGCTGAAACCATTACATTAAACACCGGATCAGAGACTGGATTATGACCCTTATTTCCCCCTCTAAGTGTTGATATTTATAGAAACATGGTTATTGAAGGGAAGCAGCCGCAGATAGATGAGATACTCTGGGGAAACAGTTCCAGATATGAGCATAAACCCTTCTACTACAGAGCCATGCTGTTGTAATGCCTGTTGTCAGAATGTGGTTTGTCATTGTCTTGCTGAAATATGAAGGTCTTCCCTAAATTAGCCATTGTCTGGATGGCAGCACTGGACCTCAGGATAGTTTTCCACTTGTTCGTCTCCACCCGTTTGCATGGTGTGAAATACGATCCTCCTGAAACACGGAGTGTTTTATTTTGAAATGAAGCCGAATGTTTCATTTTGTGTCTGTGCCCGACTTCCTTTCCAGCATGGGTTAATCTGTGCTGAGTTTATCTGGCACGCTCTGGCGTCCAGAAAAAACAGAACTCTTGCGGTCAGCTGCATAGTCCGGCGATCCACAGCGGAACAGAAAGAAGCCGTTGGAAATCGAAAAATCAACTTGAATGGTTACGATCAGCTACGATCGGCGGATACGGCCTATTCGTAGCCGTTCCAGATGGGTGGAAGCTGGACGTGAGGTCAGACAAGTTCACCACAATAACAGCTCCGTCTGTGCTGACCTCCAGCTGATCACTGTTTTTATGGAATCCTGTGATGTCACAAAGCCACGGAATTCTCCTTGATGTTCAAATTACTGCAACTACAGGTTCTTTCCTGGGATGGTTCCACTGAGCTGGTGGTGGAAACATGATGTCAATGTAGTAGTTGCATCAGTGGTTTTTAGCCCATGCGGTGACTCCCACTTTTGAGTCATATCTTTTTTTTTTTAATGCAGAGTTTTGTAGAGATATCTTTTCGAGAATGTTGAACTCTTGGCTCACGCAGTCTCTCACAAAGTGGTGAATTTCTTCTTATCATTCTCGCGAAAGGACTCGGCCTCTCTAGAACGCCTTTCTTAAAACCCACTCGTTATATGAATTAACCTGTTTAATACAGCCTAAATATGCTTAAACATATAAATGTGTGTGTGTACATATATATGTATATATGTATGTATGTATGTATGTAAAGTTTGAATGAGTCACTGCTGTCTGTGATGTTTCCTCTCTGTATGTTTCTGCTTCCTGTTGGTCTCCTGTTTGTTTTCAGCTAAGAAACTCTCTGTGGTTATTAAAAAGACTCCGCCCTGTGAAATGTAGCTTTCCTTGTTTGACTAGTTTGTGGGAAAACACTAGTTAGTGTGTATTTGTGTGTATGTGTGTGTGTGTCTGCTGTTTAGACCTGCCCTCGCCTCACCCTCTCGCTCTCTTCCTGTGAGTGAAGGTGACGGTGCTCATTATTTCCTCTGTTTATTTGCATTTCGTCCTCAGAAAAACAAACCGTCGCCCTCTCTGTGTGGATAAATATGTGTCTGAAGGAAAAAGCAGCGTCTAAACACAGAAATTAACTTTGTTTTCAGGAGAGATTCAGGTCTACAGCTGACTCAGGATCAGCTCTTTACTGCAGCAGGGTGTTAATGCAGGCGGCTGCTGCCCTCTAGAGGTGAAAAGGCCAAATACCAGCTGAGATGGATAGAATTTGAAAGAGGCTGCATACCTCGCTGTTGTTAGCTTATCAGGTCAGCGTGTCGCTCTGTGTAAACAGCAGCTGACTCTTGTCTTTACATACATGCAGGTTGTTTCCTGTTGGGATCAGCGCTCATCTTTCAGCCTGTCAGTCCTCTTAAAGATCCGAGATTTAAATAGTTTCTGCAACCAGAGAGGACAGAGTCACATGTGTGTGTCTGTTAATGTGTTTATGTGTCAGCGGGCTTGTTGCTACACGTGTGGGAATGTTTGGACATGTGCAAGACACACTCTGTCAGCTTTGTGGTTCTGCCAGTAAAGACCTAAGACCGTCTTTCTGTGTCATGATTGTTTGACAAAGACGTTCACGAAACACTGAAACTATATCCTCTTCTTTTTTAGTGGTTTGTGCGACAACATCATCCAGGACATCATCTACAGCTTCGTGGTCTTACCGAACCGCATCACCATCCCTCTGGTCGGAGAGGCTCAGCTGGCCCAGCTTCGCTTCCCCATCCCGAAGGTAAACCCCGGTTTGTCGGTTTGAAATGAGATCAGGAGTTTGGGAGTGTCAAATGTTTCCTCCGTTTGGTTTGTTTGTTTCTCACACTCTTAATTACTTCTTCAGGGTGTCCTGAGGATCCACTTCATCGAGGCCCAGGACCTGCTGGGTAAAGACAAGTTCCTTGGAGGGCTGATTAAAGGAAAATCAGACCCCTACGGGGTGATCCAGATCGGGACCCAGCTGTTCCAGAGCAAAGTCATGCACGAGACCGTCCACCCCAAGTGGAACGAAGTCTACGAGGTGAGAATCATCCTGACTCAAAGTGCGCTATCTGTGACCCCTGGTTCTGTTTTTAACTCGTTCCTTAGTCCAAACTAGATCACCTTTCTGAGGGGTCACTTTAGATGTGGTTTAAAACTTTGAACAAGTAGGACAAACTGTTCTCTGTGTTTCACCAACTATCCAGGAAGTTCAAAATCCACAGTCAATTCAAAAGACACAGAAAATGACAAATGTTTTTGTTTTTGTTTGTCTTGTGGGAAAGTTCCTTTTTTTGTTATTTCAAAGCAAAAAATTGATTAACAAATGTGAAGTATTTTTGATTTATTTTGAAGACAATGAAAGTTTCTATAAAGCAGCAAATATAGAAGATGTCTGAGTTTTAAAGTTTTCTTTCTAAACATATTTTTGTTAGTTTATCTCCACTCTGTCTACTCTGTTTGTGGAGGTTACAGTGGTGTGTTTGTGTATTTTCAGGCTCTGGTGTACGATCACTCAGCACAGAGTGTTGAGATCGAGCTGCTTGATGAAGACACCGATAAAGACGACTTCCTGGGGAAGTAAGTTTTTCTACTGAAACAGCAAATCTTCTACGTGTTTCCAGAACCTCAGAAAATATCCAACACCCTTATTCCATCCTGCTCATTTACAAGTCTGAGGATAGGACACCAGGTTTGATTAATTATGATTGTTTTTCAGTCTGATGATCGACCTGGCAGAGGTGGAGAAAGAAAGGAAGGTGGATGAGGTAAGCCGAATATTAGCCCTGCTTTAAAAACAGACACGACTCTGTAGTGGAAATCACCGCATGGGCTCAGAATCATCCAAAAAATCATTGTCTGCAAACACAGTTGACTGCAGTTGATAACAGCACCATGCAAACTTAAACCTGAACCCAAAGACCAGTGACTGTTCGATGGTCTTATAAATTAGTGTTCGTCCTTCCTCTTGGGTATCTTGGACCAAACTTTCTCTCCTTAAAACCGACATGGATCGGACACAAGCAATTATCTTTGGTCAAAGTGTCTGATAATACCGTTATTTCTCTGTCCTCAGTGGTTTGCTATGGAAGATGTGGCCACAGGGAAGCTGCACCTCAAACTGGAGTGGTTATCTCTGCTGTCCTCGCCTGAGAAGCTCGATGAGGTACAGAACCAGAACCAGAACCAGTCCTTTAAAGAGGTTCTTCTCTGCTTTTTTCCTCTATTTTGTTAGTTGTAACTTTATTTCTTGTCCTCACAGGCTCTGATGACCATCAAAGCTGATCGTGGTCACGCCAATGACGGCCTGGCGTCGGCACTGCTCGTCGTCTTCCTGGATTCAGCGAGAAACCTGCCGGTAAGTCACTCTGCAAAAACTTTTTCTTTTACTGTTCGGTCCCTCGGTTGAAACTTTCTCTCCTTTTTTAAACTTTGTGATTTTGTGCGATTGAAAACATTTTTACAAGTTCGACATATTCCTGGATTTCCCATCTATCCGATGTTCCAGGTATTTTAAAATACAAATCATCATTTTAAGGGTCATTTATTCGTTTTTTTCTAGCTCTCTAGTTCTTTCTTTCTCTCTGGTTCTCACTGTCAATCCTCCGACATACAGAATCTCATTTTCTAGACTTTTCTGCTCTTTTTTCTGATCAGAGGTATAATAAACCCAGAATCAGACTCTAGAAAATACAACCACAACTCTAGATATCATTATCATTATTGTATTTTCAACAGATTTCTACTTGCAGGACAACTTCACATTAAAGTCAACATTATATGTCAGTGTTCAATGAAAACATGAGCCGACTTATGTATCACAATTCCGACTTAATTGAAGGTTTTCACCGAAGTTAACGTCAAACAAAGTGATCAGGACTTCTGCAGGATTATTCATGTTGACGTTTCTGTCTTTTCAGCTGCTCTAAAACGCCATATTTATGTAGATGAACGTCCAAATGTCCAGTTCTGCTGCTGGAGCACGGACTGCAGGACAGGATGTGGCTCCACTCTGTTGGGGTTCGGTAGCTCTTAGATGAAAATCAACATTTTTGCCACATAGTCAACAGGCAGAAGTGAAATGTAATGGATCTGGTTTTATATGAGGTGTGATCAGGTGGTCCCTTTAATAAGTTTTGACCAATCAGAATCAAGTTTTTCAAATGTAAGTTATACCAGGATGATGGACTGAACTGCTTCCACAGACAGTCGATGGTCTTTCTCATCGTAGACAGTATTTTCCAGGGTAAGGATACAGGATTTGTCGGTGGTTACAGTTCAGACCTCACCTTCCTCTTTTCAGCCTGCTCTTCTTCTCTGCCTCTCCTCTCTCCCCTCCTCTTCCTCCCCCCTCTGAAGAGCGTCTTCGAGGGGAACTTGGGCTCTGGATACTTAAAAGAGAGGCGGGCGGCGGGCCTCGTGTTTTGCGAGAACACGTCCTCTCTCTATAGGACCTTATTTGTGAGTGCGCTGGCTGTTTCTCTGCATCCTAGAGTAATCTGACCCAAACCCAGGTCTGATCAGAGCTTACTCTCTTCGTTTTGCCTGTTTTTTTTTGGTTTGGAAGAAAACAAAGGTTTGAATTGTGTGGCTATTGAGCATGAATCTTACTACTGCATGAGTTAAGCTCATTAATATCATGATTTGTTATGATTTTCATGTGTTGGCGTTCAGGTGATTACAAAGTTCAGAAACGTGACAAGTAAAAAAAACAATGACAGTCAAGGTTTTAGTTTGAAAAGAATCAAAAGCATCCTTCCTCCTCAATCGTTTCTTCTTTTTCAGGATCTGAGATTTTTGCAGGATCTTGTGTTTTAACCTCAGATTTACTGTGTTTAAAAGTGAAGAAAATAGTCCGTCTGTCTCATTTTGAGGAGGAAGGACTGCGTTTTGATCATTCAGAGACGCTTCAGATCAAACAGAGTGAATTCTCTGGATTGCTTTCCCTCCATTTTTACTTTTTTAAACCCTCATCATGTGTGTGAGCAGGTTTTCCCAACCTGCCTCCTCTGTGGTGTTTCATACCAACCCAGCCAGCAGGGGGCAGCACATGGTTACCCCTCTAAGAAACACTGAAGATGACTTTGATGTTGTTCGCAGTTTTTCTCCCATCATGGAATTTTGTTCTAATTTTTACTGAAAACTGTTTTTGTTTATTGATGACAGTCTAACTTTATACCTGAGAATCAGTCGATCTTTGAGTAACTATTTATTTAGTTTGCTGTAATATATGAGCTAAAATTTTCTGACATTGGCTAACTAAGAAATTGGCTAACTTAGAAAATTAAAATCATCCAAGACGTGGATGATTTTAATTTTCTAAGTTAGTAGCTACGTTACTTAGACTTGGCACACAGCCACGAAAATTTCGTACACATTTTGCATCAATCATTTTGTTCTGGACCACGACCAATGTTGAACTTTTGCTACCTGTGGAACAAAGTGTAAAACTATGTTAAATCCAAGCAAAAAAACCTCTACTGTAAAAAAAACGGAGCCAATGAAGAAGTGCTGAAAATGCTGTTCCCCAAGTGTCCACTAGAGGCTAGCTCCTAAAGCAAGTTGATCCCTTAGACTTGTGTAAAAACATAGATGTAGTCACGGCAACGCACACCATTTGAGTCTGAGGTGAAGTATTAGCGCTGCTTTCAAATTACCTCGGAAGTCAGATGTCGGAGCTGAAAATGACGTCACACCCAAGTTACCAGCGTTTTAGTTACCAAGTCGGAAAAAAGCAAAATCGGAAGTGGAAACAAGATGGCTACATCTATGAAAGTTATTTTAGCACTTGCCTTGTCCGAACATAAGTCAAGCGCTACAGTAACTTTTGTAGACGTAGCCATTAGGCCTGGACGATATAGAAAAAAAGCATATCGATAAAAAATAAATCATATTGATCGATATCGATAATTATTGATATAATTATTATAATTATTTAACATATGTTTTAATTGCAGCCCTGGATGTTATATGCTATTGCTTAATGACCTACTTTTAATAAAGAACACAGAAGCACTGAATTCAAATTCAAACCTTTATTCAACCACCTTTTTTATTTTACCACAACTGAAAGTTTTTTAAAAAAGAACTAAAAAAAAAAAAGAAATCAACTTAAGGGGCCTGAGTGATGTCAGTAAATACTGACAAACATAAAGACTAAAGTGACCAGAAAATCTGATAAATAAATATTTAAATAGTCTTTTGATGAAAATAAACAAAACAAACAAATATATAAATAAACAGAATAGCTTTAGGTGGGAATAACATACTACCAGTTTTAACTGTGTGAGAAACTGCCCACAGCCTGGTGTCTGAACACTGAAATATTTCTCCCGGGGTCGGGAGATTTATTTTTTTTAATTATCATGTGATTGACTTGATACGCAAACTGAGCACGAGAAGCAGGACTTATCCACGCCGGTGTTGTGTCGTAGAATGCACCCCTGCCGAATGCACCCCCTGCTAGTAGCCATGATCCAAATACTCGCGTCTTTGTAAAATATGAGCTCATTTTCTTCCACTTTAAGAAGCTAATGAGTGGACGGGATGCAGGGGTGCATTCTTCTCACCTTTTCAACCCCTGACCCATTTTCATGTCTGAAGCGCTGTGTTTGAGAAATACTTGCGGCCGGGCACTTCATATCGCGGGTCGAGAGTGGCTAGAAGCTGGTCGAAGCCAGGCTTTTCAACGGCAGTTATTGGCAGTATGTCCCTCGCTATGGAGCATGTTACTGCATGGGTGATGTCCTTATGCCGCTCGGACGCTTTGTCGTATTTTGGCAAGAAACGAAGTCCAGTTTGGTCTGCTTCACTTGCTTTGTGCTGGTGCTGGCAGCGGTTCCAGAGGATTCCTCCGACGACGACGTGGAGCCGCGGCGCGGCCGACACAGCTCGTACTCCTGCGGGTGCGACCGGTTTAGATGGTAAAACAAGTTGGTTGTGTTACCAGACTTGGTTTTTACTAATTCTCTGCAAATTTTGCAAACGACCGCTGTTCGCTTTTTGTCAGACTTCTAAAAACCAAAATACTGCCATGCTGGTGAACTACTGACAATGTCCTCCGCTTCTCCTTGCTTTATCATTTTTTCTAATACACGTGCTGTCTGTTGTGGTTTGATAGGGGCTGGGCTTGGTGCCGTAGCGTAACTGGGTCTGCGTTTGTGATTGGTTGGGAGGAAGTAATGACTGTAGCAAAAGCTACATGATAGGCTATGATGAAAAAGAAAGGGAAACTGTGTTTTTCTATCGAACTTTTTATCGACCCGTTTTTTTTCTATCGCAGCACACGTCTATCGATCGATATATATTGTTATCGAATTATCGTCCAGCACTAGTAGCCATCTTGTTTTGCTTTTTTTCCGACTTGGTAACTGAAATGCTGGTAACTCAGGTGTGACGTCATTTTCATCTCCGACATCTGACTTCCAAGGAAACTCGAACGCAGCGAAATGGCCAATTAGTCGCCTCATTAGAAATGCTGACGAGTCCACTAAGAGGCGGAGTTAAGGCGGACTTTTAGCCTCCTCGCTAATAGCAGCTAATTTTTTACAAACCGTCCATGTTTGTTGGCACACAGGCTGATACTTTTAAGATCGGCATGATTTAGAGCATCATTGTGCTGACTTGAAGGATAGGACTGTAGTTATCGTTACTGACGTTATTTCATGTTTTATTCAGTTTGGTTGAAGCTCCATTTTCATGAGTTTTAAATAAAGTTAATTTGAATAAAGATCAATGGGTTTCATCCCATTATTCTCATATATAAATGTCCCCAACTGTCACCACACCATCAGACCTTCATTGAATGACTCCTGCTACTGATCATTTGCTCTTTTTCTATTTTCACCATTGACTTCCATCCTAATCAAAGCTGTTGTGAAGAGAGTCCAACCAATACAAGCTAACTGGGCTTGGAGAATGGCAGATATCGGTGCAAACGTTGGTAGAAATCCAACACAAACAGTATTTTTTACATTTTTTTAATCTTAAAAGGATAATAATCTGATTTTTTGGATGTGCTGCTATCTGCCAGTGTTGTTTGGACTCTAGTTTTGTCCTCATGTCCAGGTTGAATTGGGGAACGTCATTAACCATGTGATCATCTCTCTGTCTTCCCATTATGTCCCATTGTCTGGTGATGCCGGCGGTGCTGGTGTGTTTTGTCCTCCACCTCCTCCTCTTCCTCCTCTTCCTCCCTGCATGCCCCTCTTTTCCCCTAATAACCTGCTGGTGTGTGTGTCTTTGTTTGTGTGTCTGTGTGTGGTTTGCTCTCTCCTGCCTTGTCCCCGGGAAAATCAAAGCGCAATCCTTTAGAGTTCAACACGGCGGGGCTGAAGAAGGCCTCGCTCAGTAAGGCCATCAAGGTAACGACACGGTGACGAAGCACACAAACGCTTAGCGCTCTGACACCGAGGAGAGATATTTTCAGAGCGAGGACACGTTAAAGACTCATAACTACGAAATATTGATGATTTAATGTTAAGTCAGTCAAAGTGATGCTACCATCGATGTTCTTGTTCCTTTTATAGTGTAATTATTGTCTAAACTATTGATGATTATAACCCTCAGAAACAGATCTAACTCAAGACATTTAAAGCCCTCAGGAGGAAATATCCACCAGGGGGCGCTGATGTAGAGTTCATATCGGCTTTGTGGCCAGTTTCAGTCACCAGAACTTAACTTCCTTCCTGACTGTTGTTGTGAAATCATTAACAAACTCCACTAATCATGTTTGTGTCTAAATCTGTGTCTAACAATGTGTGTTGTAAATAACAACATTGTTGTACACTCACACTCAGTCTTTTGATTCTGGATCCTTGAATTGATCTTTTCTGTTCATCTGATCTGGTGGGACTTTCAGACTTCCTGGTTTGGGGTCTTATAGTTTGAACCTGATGAGTTTTACTGCTGAAGTCTGTAGTTTTAACAGATCATCACATTTGGCCTCTGAGGACTTAAATGTGATGAAGTAGTTTGGTACCAATAAAAATGTAAAAAAAATTATGTCCTTAACTGACTTTATTAGAGCAGTAAAGTGAATTTTGATCATGTTTACATTCTACCATATTGTTAAAACCACGTTTTAACACACGCATAAGTGTGGTCCATATATAGTAGTTTTTAGTTACTAATTGCATGTATAGCTTTGTAGATAACTGTAAAAAAAAAAGATGCTTATAGTCGATGTTGACCAACATTAAAACCTAATATTGTATATGTTTGGAGGTGGATAAGGGCCACCATTAAAGAATTTTCCATTTTTAAGGTCTGAAATTTTTAAAAGTTCAGTTTTTCCCCTCAAAATTCATAGTTTGACTTTTACATTTTACCTGAATGTTAGAATTCAGACTGAAATCACAGCTCTACAAATATGTCGCATTTCTGAGGAGTTGGGTCCCAAAAACATAAGCAATCCACGGAAAAAGTCACAATTATCAGAAAAAAATGAAACTGAGAAAAAAAATTGGAATTCTGAAAAACAAACAAACAAAAAAATCTGAGGAAAAAGATAGAATTTTGAGGAAAAGTTGTAAATCTTTGAGAAAATTCTTTAAATAATTGTAGGACAACCAAGAAAAACATTAAAATTGTAAAAAAAAAAAAAAAAAAGTTAAAATTCAGAGAAAAATATCAAAATTGGGGGAAAATGTAAAAATTAATCAGGAAAAATGTTTAAATTCTGAGTAAAAAAAAATGATATTCAGAGTAAAACAGAAACCTGGGAAGAAAGAAAGAATTTTCAAAAACTGTTTAAAATATTGAGAAAAAAAAAATCAGACTTTTGAGTAAGACAAAGGAAATCTAAAAATCAACTCAGAGACTCAGAATTAACTTTTATATCTTCAAAGAAAAGGTCCTTTTCACAGAGACACCACCATGTTTCTACTGTAGCCCAGAATGGACAAACTAGTGAAATACGCCTTTTTGTATTTAGTGAGCAGCTGTGTGAAAAGAACCAGCAGTAAGGTGAAGAAAAAGAGAGAGGGTGCTGTCAAACATTTACTGTTGACACAAGGTTTTGGTGGTAAAAACTCAACTTATATTTATGATTGCATAACTGGAGCTTTTTGTTAACGTTACTTTCCTCTTTAATGTGGCCCTTCCACTCTGACAGACCATGTTACTATCATTGCATCTTTTTTTAAAGTGCATTAATTAGACACTGGAGTTAGAATCAACAGTTAAAATGTCGATCGTGTGTCTTTTATTAATTTGAAAATACTGATCTCTGACTGAAATGAAATCGTGTCGCGTCTCCTAGCGTAGTTTGCTCAGTACGAGTTTGCTATCTCTCGTTCTTGATTGAAAAACATTTTTTCTTTTTCTGCAGTCCGGTAAAAAAGTCACCAGTGATCCCAGTCCGTTGGTCCAGTTCACAGTGGGACACAAGTCCTATGAGAGCAAGGTGAGACCCAAAACCCACGATGAGGAAAGTTCCCATTTAGGATAGTCCTTCGGCATCCTGTACATCCTCTGATCTTAAAAACACGAGCACAATGATGAAGAAATTGATCGATCTCGCCTTTTTTCCCCTGTTTTCAGACTCGATATAAGACCAATGAGCCGGTGTGGGAGGAGGCCTTCACCTTCTTCATCCACAATCCCAAAACTCAGGAGCTGGAGGTGGAGGTACAGACGCCTCATCAGCGGGTTTCCTGAGCGGACCAATCTGTGAAGTTTGTGTTTTTATCCCGATGTGTACGCTGATGTTGTCGGACTCTTCCAGGTGAAGGACGAGAAACACGAGTGTTCGTTGGGGACGTTAACGGTGCCCCTGACTCGCCTGCTGGAGGCTGAGGAGATGACCCTGAACCAGCGCTTCCCCCTCAAAAACTCCGGGCCGAGCTGCACCCTCAAGATGAAGATGGCTCTGCGGGTAAAACGACGCGCCACTGATGGTTTTCTCCAAATAATACATAAAATATAAGCCTTTTATTCCTCTTTCGTATAATTCATAAACAGAGCAGAATAAAGCCGCAAGAGAGAGACGGCATCAAAGTCCCATATGGTGGAGTCATAAATATGAAACAGGGTTTCCACCAGGAAAGAGCTGATGTATTATGTATAATGCAGATTTCAAAGGGCCCGACGTAAAGCCAGTGGAGCTGCAAACAGTGTTGCTCAGTAATATTAGTTTACGATCTGCCGAGTTTTTAACCTTCTCCAAAACTAGAATCTTCTCTGGGCCTGAGTCTGTTCAAGGTTAGGGTTAGGGTTATGGTCCTCTGGTTTGACAAAATTTGACCTTTTTTGAAATCATGACCTTCTAAGTTTGAACAAAACCAATCTCCTGATCTGTCCGTGTGTATCATTTCAGGTTTTGTGTCTGGATAAAAATGCATCTGTACCTTCAGACTCCACCCCGTCATCTGTGCAAGTCCGTAAAGGAAGCTCCTCCAACGCTGCCTCTCGACCCTCCGTTTCCTCTGACTCCCAGAAGCCTCCCTCCTCCACCTCCGATATCCCCCGCTCCGCCTCAGTGTCGGCTCAAGATGTGCTGCACAGGCAAAAGGACGCCAGTGACCCCTATAGATCGCCAGGAAGCACAGACTTTGGACAGGGGGCAGGAGGAGGTCAGAGCCTGGCAGATAACGGGAGGAGCACCTCCAACCTGGCCATCTCGGGTTCTCAGCAGTACCTGGCAGGAGGGAAAGAACCGACGCCCAGCATCGCATCGGACATCTCCAACCCCTACGCTGCCCAGGAGCTGCAGCTGAGACTGCAGCAGCTGCAGAAGTATTTATCACTCAATCAGATATCGGCTGACTTCTGTAAACTTCAGTGCACCTTTAGTTAACCTCCTCCCTCTGTCTCTGTCCCTCTATAGCGGCTCAGGCCCCAGTCACTACCCACTGGGTGAGATTCAGCTGACGGTCCGACACAGCTCCCAGAGGAACAAGCTCATTGTGGTCGTTCACGCCTGCAGGTACAGACCAGTCCGAAAAAAAGTCTGAAACTGGAACTGAAATGTTTTCTTCAGCCTTTGTTATCTCCTGGTGAGAGTTCGACTTCTTTTTTTCTTCTAAAAGATAATATCCGTTTTCCTCTCCAGGAACCTGATAGCGTTCACAGACCACGGCTCAGATCCTTACGTCCGCCTCTATCTTCTCCCTGACAAGCGGAGGTCAGGCCGAAGGAAAACTCACACATTCAAGAAAACGCTCAACCCAATCTACGATCAGACGTGAGTGCACCCCTGGACTGTTTTAAAACAAACCAACAGAATGCTGATCAGAGTTTCAACGTAGCATGTTCTCTGTGTGTGGTCAGGTTTGAGTTCACCGTCTCCCTCGTGGAGCTCCACAGACGAACTCTGGATGTCGCAGTGAAGAACGGCGGGGGGCTGCTCTCCAAACACAAAGGCCTTCTGGGAAAGGTAAGAACAAGCACAGCTAAAGATCGCTATTTGGTGTTTGTTTGGTCTGTAAGCACAGATAAGAAATTTATTTACAATAACATTTAGCTATGATTTTTTTTATTATCATTTTTATTGTTAAAACAAAAAATTGTGCGTCTTCATTTATACTTATTTGGATGAGTAATCTAAATACTCTCATAATTAGCTCATATCCACCATACAAGGTCACCCCAAAACTGCCCGGTGTGCACCACAAAAATCTCCCGGATTTTATAACCCAAATGTTGACAGGTATTCTCTAGTGTTGATGAAAACCATCAGTCAGAGGATTTCAGGTACTGTCTCTTTAAGGCCCCCCTTCCTCCGAGCCCACTCTCTTCTGATTGGCCAGCTCAGACCATCCCAGGAGAGAACCTGTAGTTGCAGCAATTTAAACATCAAGGAGAATTCCGTGGCTTTGTGACATCACAGGATTCCATAAAAACATTGATCAGCTGGAGGTCGGCTCAGACTGAGCTGTTATTGTGGTGAACTTGTCTGACCTCACCCCCAGTTTCCACCGCATCCAGAACGGCTACGAAAAGGCCGTATCCGCCGATTGTAGCTGATCGTAACCATTCAAGTTTATACATCAGTTCCGGGCACAGACACAAAATAAAGCAACCGGCTTCTTTTCAAAATAAAACAGACGGATCGTATTTCACACCATGCAAACAGGCGGAGACAAACGAAAGGATTTTAGATGTCATTTCTAAAAACCTCATTTCTTAAAATTGCAGCTGTTCCGTATGTGTTGGCAATTGGGGGTCAGCCTTACTCAGATCTACTGATCTGAAACTAGGCCCACATTCAGGTGGTCAGAATCAGAAATGCTGTCTCTGCCAACAATAACCGCACTCAGCAGACCACTTTGGCCTCATTGACCTGCAGAGACTCTGATCCTGTGTTTAGCTGTATTACACCATTTATACCTAAATTTGATGGTTTTCTGGGTGTTTTCTTATCTTTAGACCAGTCAGGCAAAATTTTAATTTCAGCTCAAACAACAAGGAAATGATGAAATCCTTTGTTTCATAACACAAAGACCAACTGTGGAGGAAAAAGGTTAAAAAAAAACAATAGAAACTCTCTTGTCGAGCCAAAAGCCAAAGAATAAATCAAATTAACTGGTGTGGAGACAATAGACAAATGTTATTTCATGGATTTGGTCCATTAAGATGATGTCAGAATCTCAGTAACTGAGACAGGATTTGTTGTCTATTCTCATCAGGTCCTGGTGGACTTGACCCACGATGAGATCACCAAGGGTTGGACACAGTGGTAAGTGTTTGGTCATCCTCCTCTCCTTCCTATTGATTTACACTTTTGATTTGTGCTGTTAGAATTGATGGTTAAAGCTCTGAAAGGGGGGTCGTATTTTATAACCTGAGACGTTTGCTTGCCCTGAGGTTAGAGTAACGCCGCTTTTGAAATGAGTCTGAAGAAAACCTCATTTGTCCTCCTGCAGGTATGAGCTGAGTGAAGACGGCCAGGCGAAGGCTCACCAACTATAGACAATCATCGTCATCATCGTCGTCATATCACCGTCTACTTTACACACTTCCTCCGAAGTCCACAGTGTGGTTTTTTTTTAACGTTTTCGTCATTTGTATCTGTACGAACAAAAGCAGCTTTTACATTCATTTAATCTCATCAGTCGCAAGGCAAACCTCCCCTTTAAGAAGTGAACAGGCTGGTGGACTAAAGGGAGTACACAACTTTAGAGAGCTATATATAGCAAAGTATCCTGCTGTGGATGATATATTCCGTATTTATAAGAGAAACTAGAACAGTCGTAGAGGAAGGTAATCTATATTTTTTCCTGCCGTGTAAAAGTTTGTAAATATGCAAAGAAGCTGAACGAAACAGACGGTGTGTTCTAGGAGTGAGAGGAAGGCGTGGTCTCTTACCAGCCAAATGATTGTTAATAATTGTGTTTCTAGAGAAGAACATTCTGGATCGAGGTTCCAAAGCAGAGCAGGCAGGTGGTCGCAGGGAAGGACGCCACCAAAGAAACGAGTAGTGTTAGACTTTTCCACCCTCCGGGGTTTGTAGTAACTCATCTGCTCTTGGCTTTATTCCACCATAATAAACAGAGACAGAGGACAGTTCTAACTACATTTATCATGTGTTAGCGCAGTCTGTTAGCACGCCTGTTATTACGCTGGACTAAGACAGGCGTAGAGAGTTACCTGTTTGTTTTTTAACCGAGTATTTGCACATCTCTGTGTTTTTTTTTTTTTTATCTACTGGGGATCATCTTAACGCTCAGTTACAATGTAAACGTTGCCTTTATCAGTTTAGTATTAAAATACTAAAATGAAAAAATATTCAGAAAAAGTGATGAAATAAATGTTAAAAGATGTTCATGTCAAAGCAAAGACAAGATCACTGTCGTTACTGTCGGTTAAATATGAAGCTACAGGAAGAACCTGCAGTTTACATGTTCAGTTTTACTCTTAATTAGATGATCATTTACGATTAAAACATCGTGTTTTATTGAGGAAGACTTGAAACAAGGAAATAAGACGATAGACTGGTCACTCAAAAGGTTTACAAAGTTAATAAATCAACGTTGTTTACATTTTACAACAAATTACCACACACTCAGATTTCTTTTGCTGCCAATGGAGTCGCCCCCTGGTGTTCATTAATAATGTTGCAGGTTTAAAATAGTAATTGATGACTTTTTACATTTTAATCCTTAAGACCACATTTACAACTGAAACACCATTTAGGATGAATTATCACTGTTAAGGGGCGTAATAATGAGGTATGCTGGTAATTGGCAGAACGAGGCCATGCTAGCATTTTCCTGCAATATACATAATCTGTACTAAGTGTACCGTCGACTGTCTGAAACATAGATAGGCAAAAAGTGGGCGGGTCTTAAGCCTCCTGGCGAACAGCTCCAGCTCCACCCACTTGTCCTTAAACTCAGCTGTGCCCCAAATTATGCAAATTTAGCCTCACTTTTGGCCTCAAATCCTCCTAAACAGATTTATTTAGAACCCTTTGAACCTTTGTATCAAGCCCTGTGAAAATGACCACTTAAGCATGGGAATTAATGGGGTTTTCTTGTCTTTCAAACCAAGCCTCTAGTGGCCACTGGAGGAACTGCACCTTCTTCCACATTGTCTTCACTTAGTGCAGGGTTCATGTTTAACAGACAGAGAGAACTGTTGGTCAACTTCATAAAACAAGCATACTTCCCGAAATGTTGAACTATTCCTTTAAAGTAACTCCTGTTTCAAAGCAGGCTGCAGTTCAGTGAGGTGACAACGATATCAGACACATTTTTGTCTTGATTTAAAGCCACTAAACTTATGTAAATAGTGGCTCAGATGTTTTTGTTTGTTTGTATTGTTTTTGTGCTCACACTGCAGGGCGTTACATGCTGTCTGAGTGAGGTTTATATCACAGAAAAACTCCACTACAATCATTCTGGGCTCCTCATGTTATGTTTATGAATCGAAATTAGTCTTAAGTTGTTATAAAGTGTCATTTTTAACAATTTTTTCTGTCTGATTCTGGAGAAAATACATTTACTATCGAGAGTAAGACAAAAAAGTGTTAAAAATGACTTTTTTATTTCGTGCATATTCACCTGTTTTTCAAACATGTCATATCAAACTCTGCGCTAACTCCACGGCAGTCACTCAGACAGGATTAATATCAGTCATAAATCATACTATTAATGTCATACATACTCTGTAAATGCAAATGTTATTCTACATGGTAAACTAAGCCAAAGAGCAGCAGTTATGTGTCGATACAGAGGAGGCTCATGTGTTCATGTATCCCATCATGAAAGTATTTTACGTGTGTGTATGTAAATTCTGCATTTTATGTCTTTTAATGTGTTTTTTTTAGTGTTTCTGAGCTTTTTCTTCTTTGTCATGTGTGTTTTTTTTATTTTGTAAGAAACAAAAATATTTGTCTGTAAACATGAAGATTTTAGAGCACTGCCTCCGGGGTGGACTCGGTCCTCTGTCTTCTTAATTTATCTTGTGCCTTAAAATTTACACGACCCAGAGATAACAACATGTACAAAATAGATCCTTTAAGACCAGTTCCCCATGTTTCAGATTGTCTCCTAAATGTCTTTTAAAAGAAATAAAGAGCTTTAGCTGGCTAATGGCGGCATGAAGCTGTACGGCACTGCCACGTCTGGTGAGTCTTTTATTTATCGTGACAGAGTTCGGCAGGCAGAGGATTGCGTCGCTGCTTATTGCTTATAGCTTTAGTCGAGCAGTGACCTTCACTTCTTGCGAATCAGCACCTCCAAGTCCTCAGTCGGAAAAAAGGTAGATTGCCTTCTCCGGGTCGGAGGGCAGGTCCTGCCTCAAGTGGAGGAGTTCAAGTATCTCGGGATCTTGTTCACGAGTGAGGGTAGGATGAAGCCGGAGATCGACAGGCGGATCGGAGCGGCGTCAGCAGTGATGACGATGCTTAACCAATCAGTCGTGGTGAAGAAAGAGCTGAGCCGTAAGGCGAGACTCTCGATTTACCGTTTGATCTACGTGCCGATCCTCACCTATGGCCGTGAACTTTGGGTAATGACTGGAAGAACAAGATCGGTAAACTGTAAGTAGTGGCTGTTTAAAGCACCTGTAAGGAACTTTTTAGTTCAGTTTACTCAGGCACCTGTTAACAAAACAACCTGTTTTTATTATTGCACATAAAATTTAAACAACAATTGATAGTTTGACCAAAAAGTCAGATTTTTCATTTGTTAGAACAAACTGCTCAGATACGTAGGTGACCGGTGAATACTGCTGTGTCCACAAGAGGGCGCCAATATTGGCACATGGTAAAATTTCCTCACGGGAGCTTTAACAACTATATCAAAACATTAATTTTTTTTCTGTTAATGGTCAACTATGTGTACTTAAGTGTTTCTATTTTCAAGTCGCATTTTAAACTCATTATTATCATTAACCGGTTTCATAACATGATAAAAACCTCTTACATGAGCTTTAATGTCACTGTTTCCTCACTGAGAACATTTTCTTCGCTGACAGTCATCAGCATCATTTCATTCACCTGCTCTCAGTTAACAGGCTGAACATTTCCTGCAGCACCTGAAAGCATCAGTGGAGCTGATTTAAAGAGGAGAACCCCGTCAATCCGTCAAGTTGGTAAACAAAAGGTACAGAGCGGATATTGACTCTTTTGACCTTCAAAATAAGAGGCAATTGAGCTAGGCCGCGTTGGAAACCCCCATGATTGAATGACTTTACACATTTAAAAATATAATTCCTTAAACTAGAACAATTAAATGTTACTGTACAAAATCCCTTTGAAAAAAAAGTATCTGCTCTGATCTCAGTAATTCAAAAAAATAATTCTAAAATAATTAGTTCATTAATTCATAAAAACGAGCTGCTTTTTTAAGTGACTCTTTTCTCCTGAACAACGTGCTTCCCTGAATGAAGCAGAGCGCCGGAAAGTCAAGAGAATGGCGCCCAGTTTCACAATTGAAGGTTCCTTCTCCAGCTAAATTGAGCTGGAGACAATGAGACACAGCCCCTGAAAGAAAAAACACAAAATGGCCAAACTCTTCACAATTTTTTACGGCTTTGGCGCTGGTGAAAGATTATTTTTTTGTTTGATTCTATCGCTAAACTTTTATCCTTCATTTAAGAAAAAAAGGTGTAAAAAAAAAAAAAAGTTTGCATTTCAGACATTTATTCTGAAAATTTTCACCGGAAACACTTTCTAACTCCTTTTAAAGGACGCAGAGGGAGGGAGCTCGAGCCTCCAGCAGCAGAAACGCCCTGCATCCTCTCTCTCCTCTTCCTCCAACATCCATCCAACGTCCGTACACCCCCCCCCGGCTCTCCTCTGCTCCTCTCACCGCGGAGGGGCCACTCTGAGCCGGAAGGAAGACGTACCAAACCCCCGCTGGAAAAAATGGCTTTTTAACGAAAAAACCAAGAAGCGACACCATGGATCTTTTGCCTTTTTCCTTCCTCCACCGCCGCCACCTCCTCCTCCACCTTCTCCTCGCTTCCCTGAGCGTCTTCTCCGCCTCTGCCGACCGGAGATTCGGTGAGTAAATAAACGGTTAAAAACGTTTTTTTGAGGGTAACGTTACCGGGACCTCCTCAGAGCCATTTTCCCTGACACTCCCGGAGAGGAGACGGTTTGTGAAACTGATCTGTGTCAACATTGAACCGGCGACAGGCTGGTTCACTGCAGCTTCACCTGAGCAAAAACAAACAGAGCCGACCTGTAAGAGCCCAGAGATCCGCTGCTAACATCATCTACACTGAATATAAGAGGAATAAATGACAGTGAAGCAGCAGGGAAGCACACCTGAGAGACAGGGTTAATCCAGGAGCAGCATGAGGAGCTAATAGTCATGGAAAATTAGCTTTCACATTACTGACTGGGCCTACAGCTGCTAATCTGGACTATTTTTATACACTGATTAATAAATGTATCCCTTTAATTCCTGACACCACAAATTATGGCCAGAAAATTCACATTTTTTTGAAGCTGAAATGTT